AACTCCTCCGGTAAATGATGCCCCCCTCAACCGATTTCTACTATTTATTCAGCCTGCAAAAGAAGTCTGGTGGAGACTAAGAATATACCGTGCGCGCGAGTAAATGAAATTACGGCGGAAGCTTTTTACAATTCCCGGCGCTAACGGAGCGACGCGCGGGACAGATGCGGTAACGGCGGCGGCGGAGTCCCGCGGGAGATGCCGAGAGGGGCCCCCGGAGAAATCTCGCGCACGCCCTAATTGGAAAATGACTTTTAATTATCCTGATTGCTAAAGTGGGGGAGAAAATGAAGGGAATGTCGTTACGTTAGAGAGGGGTGACGTGATGCCAATCGGTTTGTGTGTTGGTGAGATGATTATACTGTACTGTGAAATCACATCCTCACCAACAACTCTATTTCTGAACACGGTATACATCACCTACAAGTAAGTTTCTACTCTCCAAGCAGAGGTTTGTGTTTTGGCTTATTTTTTTTTTGCTTTTTCTCTTTTGCACTAGTTTGGCGTTTAAAAAAACAATGCAAAAAAGAAACCCCGACAAAAAAGCCTAAAACACGCCAAAAATAGGCCAAAACCCAAACCTATGCTCGGAGTTTTCTCCCACACGAAAAATAGAGACACGACAACTTCTACAAACGCTATGTCTTCATCCTACAGCGGCACACGCGCATATATTTCTTCCTGTGGTCTATCAAATTATTGGTTTTGTCGAATATTGGATTCAGCAGAACCGCCATTATCCGTGCGAAGCGCTGGCCCGCCGTTTTAAGGGTCATGGGCAGAGCCGTTAAACCGAGGCTCCAGCCTTGTAGTTTCCAATCTTACAATGTTATTATGTACAAATGATCAAATAACCTATCAATTGACTTATTGGTTGATTACATGATGAATTGGTCGATAGATTGAATAGCGAATCGGTTGACCGATTTGATGCGGGCGCTCAGAGCGAGGGGAGGACTTTCTTGCTGGAGGAAAGGTAGAAATGAAGAAGTGAAGTCGCCATATTGACGAATCGGCGTGTGCCGACGCCTGCGCAGTTAGCTGACACGTTTTTTTTAACAAAATATAAACTAGTTGGAGTAACCAAATCAAAACGATAACTATTTGCGTTCTATCATGTTCGGTGGAATGGATAACTTAGCGAAGTTGAAAGAGACCGAAGTGTTCTTGTTACAACATGTATTTTCACTTTACATTGTCTTTTACGTTAGTGTTCGTCACATTTGTAAGTTTAAGCTTAACAACAGTCAAGTGGCGCGGATTTCATCTTGTAACACAATGGCCGGCCTCGATCGGGAACCTTATTTTGATGCTCTTTTGAGGAATTAGAATAGTAGCACATGGAAACTTGTTTGTCGAGGATTAAACATGATATGACAAATCTACACAAGTAATACATGGCTACTTACTGGCTGGATGGACGGTAGGCGTCTCGCCGAAGACTGTTGAACATTGTCGTGAGTCCTGACTCACAAATTTGTTTGTCAACGCGTTTCTACGAGCATATCATATAACAACTCCGTGTTCACGCCGGCAAAATCGTTACTAGTAATAGAACAAACCCTCTCTCCCTCTCTCCTGTCGTTATATCACAATAAAGGGCTAATGTACAGCAAGGAGGGGGTAACGTTAGAAAAGGGCATCCTGTATTTACCTATTTAAACCGTCTCTATTTCTCCATCCCCATCCAACACAGAACTTTGCTTATTATATCACAATGAAAGACTAATGTACATTGTCGAGTGGTGTAATTCTTTTAAGTCATAGTGCCAGCAGAAAGGGGATGGACACCCTGTATTTATATAGTAACCAGTCTCTCTTTCTCTCTATATATCTCCATCCAACTATGCTTGTTTATACCACAATAAAAGGCTACTTTAGATTGTCAAGAGGTGCAATTTTGTCAACTCATGGTGCTATCATGGGGAGGGGTGTCGTTAGGAAAAGGACACCCGGTATTTACGTACTTAACCAGTCCTCGGGCAGGTGCCGCTCGCCCGGCGGGGAACACAGCCGCGCTAAAAGCCACCGTTTAACCGCCACTTAAGCGTCGGTCACTACCCGCCGTACGTGCTTTTTGTCCCTACGTTTTTTGGGAGGCTACGTCTGCTACGTTTTTTTCTGAAAACGTGGGGAAGGAGTGGCATCGACGCATGTCACTCGCACGGTTTCGCAAGGTGTAAGAGTGTGGTCTGCACGCCAAGTCTGGCCGTCAGCGGTTGCGTGCATCGTACGTTGCGCAAGTGGTAAGTGAGTTGTACGTGCTTACAACGTACGATCTCTGTGCGATTGCAACTTTACCGTAAGGAGGCCGTACTCACACGTGCTTCTTCCGCACAGCACGTACGGGACACGTTTGACGTGCACTTAAAGTTCTACGGCGTGCCTGCGTGCTCCCAAATCCGTAGGATTCCGTACAGTAACAGTAGAACTGAAATGCACTGATCTTTCACAAAAAGTACAGCTACTTTAACCACTAAAATCTGTGGGGTTAGCACAAGTTTGGGTAAAACTTCGGCCTGCCGCATGTCGGAACTTCAGGACTTGTATGTGCCCGTTATCAAACAAGTGAAGGTTCATCCACAATCCCCTCAATACGTTTCGCAATCACGCAGTATAACCGGTTCCTCGGTCAATTACGTCGCCTCCGCGAAAATGGCCGGCCGAACGCGTCGTTAGCTAAGCCGCTACTTTTTCCTGCAGCGCCCTAAGTGCCATTTACCCCGCTCGTGCAGCACTTCTGGAGCGCAGTCGGTAGAAATAAAACGGCACTTTCAGCTGGCCTGACGCGGATTCATGGCCGCGAGCCCCGCACTTAAAGTGTGCCATATGCCGTTAGTTACCTCCATTTGAGTGGAGAGTAGCCCGGGTAATGTTGGAGAGGGATCATTGAGCGAGCACCAAACCTGAGCTGACCGGTTCTGTAGATGAACCCATTTCAGCACCAAGGACAGGGAAGTGTTGACTTTTCCTCTCAAGTTGTGGCTCCCACCTCTGCGTGTGCAGTCGTTGTTTTAATCTGTCCATTCAAGTTCCAAATTGTTAGGGAAATTGAAATAGAGATACCAAGTAAAAATGCATAAACAAGAACCATGAAAACAAGCCCTTTAGTCACCGTGTGTTTCATATAGTTTTGAGGTGTTTGCATCGAATGATACAAACGAACTTGCTCATTTGCATTGAATGATACACAACAACAAGCATAAAATATTTGAAAACTTTATACCATAAAACATAAGCAAGTAAGCAAAGTGAGCAGGCACCATAAACAAGAGGCCCAAACACACGCAATATACGTCTGGTTTCGTATGATTTTGTCTTGTTTGCGTACCGAATAATACGAACAATATTGCCTATTTTCAAAATTGTTGAAGCCCGTTTTAACTTTACTCTCTTACTCTCAATTTTGTGAACAGTGCATTCTTCCGCCCGGAACCCCATCCCTAGCCTGTACCAGTTTGATGCATCTGTACCGTAACTAGGTGTCAGTGAGAGGGGAAGCCAATCCGGCCAGTCGCAAATAGAATGGACATCAAAAACCCCCGGTGTCGGCATAGGGCCAGCCAATCCGACAGGCAGTATCGTAGATACATTGGCAGAGTTTGCCGTGATGGCCGCAGTTCATACACGGACATAAAAACCAAACGTACTAGTAACAACTTACTCTTTGGGTTCGGCTTGGCGTCTAGGACTTTTCTGTTTCACAACGCTTACAAAACAGACACCTCTTTGTCTTATAAGTAGTTGTACAATTATCAATAAATGTAAAATGCTCATAGATGCTACTCATGTATACACAAGATGTTGCAGGACTTCCTGTGTTAAGTGGTGACTTCTGATATTACGTAGCCGTGCTGTATTATTATCTGTTTGCAAATGTGTCAAATATATAACATGAAAGCGTGAAAATAAGAAATCGCAATCTGAAACTTGAAGTCAGTGTTGAGAGTGCCATCCTCAGGTTTTCACACTATAGAGACCGATTCATTCAACGGGAGAGGAAAACCACAAGAACCATAAGATATACCCCGTTCATATTTCACAACAACAGAAGCAATTTATTACTGTACAGCTCCCGGCAATGATTACCTACGAACGTTACAGGTTGTACAAGAAACCACAGATGAACACAGAATCTTCAGCACTGTGCGGCCACCACGTCTCTCTCTTTCCCCCTACCCACCGTAGCGTCGTCCTGTGCCACTTTATGTTTGTATTTATTTAATTTCGCTGGCTGTAAGCGCAGTCATCCATCCTGGAGCTACCGGGGGAGGTCGGGCCACCGCTTCCTGACCCCTCGTGCCCATATTTTACCTGGCGCACGTTAATTGAACCTGGGAGGGAGACGGATGCCCCATCACCGCAGTAATCGTGTGAAAAATGATCGTGTTTTACGCGACTTTTCCCCGTGTCAGCGTCTAATGGAGGTAATACACAAGACTTGCGCTCGGATTAAATTTCTTTTGAGCAAAAGTTGGGGGAAATTGGGCAATATATTTCGGCGATGTGCGCGCCTTCGGTCCCCCCGTCCTCCCTAATCCGCCATTTTTTCAGCTGTCAAGGCGACAGGCTGCCCTACAAAAGGGCGGGAAGGAACGCGCGGCCGTCTCCACGCTACTCGGCCCCCGCCAGCTCCGTGCAAGTCTTGTATAGCACATCCCGTCTGAGTTCCCGCGCGCTCTCTCTCATGGCCGCCTCGTCAGAAAGTCAGTACTTACCGCCAACACTAACGGGTCCGTCCTTATTTGCTCAGGGCGGGAAGCTGCTCGTGTGATGGGCATTTGATTGCCACATTTGTGCAGTTAATGACAGTACGAGGCTTCCGGGCGAGATCACTTCATCAAATTCATTGTGAATTTCCTCCAGCAGAATTGTTGTACGTCCTGACACGCTAGGTTTAACTAATCTACTGCTGCGAATAATCAAGAAAAGTTTGGAACTCAAACATGGATTCGGACTGTGATTTTAACCATCGTTTGTTTGTTTGTGTTTTTGTTAAGGAGAAGACCCACACAGGAGTCCAGACCTCAGCAAAGATGTGGACAGAGACAGGGACGACAAGAAGAAGAGAAAGAAGAGGAGACACAGGTAGGCTCATCTTTACTAACATCAAAAGGCGTGGCCTTTAGTTACTTCATAGAAAGATACATGTTTGGATAGGCTTGAAAGACGATGTGTATACATTGCAAATGCTACTTCCATCCTTCTGTTGTAGTACGTGTATTCAAAAGCATTTCATTCATGGGAAACAGCGTATGCAAATGTGCTTCGCAAAAACTTTGCCTATTTGCATCGTTAATGACATAATTTAGGCAATAGCTAATTTTACTGGCTCCCTTCTTATACCATTGTAGTGCAGAGAATCCATTTCCTTCTTTTTGTTTGTAATATAGCGGTGGTTTGTTTGATATCATCCCTCTGTTAATATTGGCCTGAGGAGCACTATTACTGAGCTATTGTCCAGGGCTAGAAAAAACAAGACAAGGAACAGACTCTTTGAATCCGCTGATTTTACTAGGCTTCCTTTTTATACCACGGCAGTAGAGATTATCCGTTTCCTTCGTTTGTGCTTGTGATATGGAGGTGGTTTGCTTGATATCATCTCTCTGTTAATATTGGCCTGAGGAGCACTAGTACTGAGCTATTGTCCAGGACAAAAACAAAACAAAAAACAACAACACAAGGAACAGCCGCTTTGAATCCGCTGATTTTACTAGGCTTCCTTTTTATACCATTGCAGTAGAGAGTGTCCGTTTCCTTCGTTTGTGCTTGTGATATGGAGGTGGTTTGCTTGATATCATCCCTCTGTTAATATTGGCCTGAGGAGCACCGTTACTAAGCTATTGTCCAGGGCTAGAAAAACAAGAAACAGCCGCTCTGAATCCGCTGCTACATTCCGCTTGTAAAAGGTGAACGTCACACTTCAGACAGGGCAGGCTGCAGTCCTTACCTTCAGCGGAAAGCTGGACAAAACTGTAAAACTGGGGAATTTCTGCTTCCTCGTTACAATTGCAGCAATTACAACGCCGGGTAGGCAGGCATGCCGTGAAGTCGGTTTATCTTGAAATTCCATTGCCAGAAGTCGTGAGGAAGGTAATGAAGGCGACGCCAATGTTTTTATTTGAATAAGGACAGCTTGTCCATTGTTAGCTGTAATGGAGTTAATGTTATTGGGTCTGGAAGTCTATCTACAATGGGAAAACATATTTTTTTTGTCATTTCGGTAGATGTTGTATTTGTCTTAAGCTTGTTTCTATCATTTGAAGCAAAACTGCATTTTTAACACGTCTGACTTGAAGTTCTAGTTGTTTCATCCTTACGCAAGCAGGTCAGAGAAGTCAACGAGTGGTTCTTTGGTTTGTAGGGCCTCTCCACAGGCAATCCACTTAAATGGAGTGGTTACGAGAGGTCACACGTGGGTCTTCTTCTTTACTGTTTTGTTTTGTCTTTAGGACTGTATGGCCTTGGCATTGGCTGTTGGAATTGATTCAAGCTTTGAGTAAACGTCCGAAAGGATGTACGTTGTCTGTCGCCTTTTCCTGGTCCCTTCTGAATCAATCCTCGGAAATGAAGGGATGTGCCGCGTATAAAGACAGAGTAAAACGGGCGTGGTACCCTTTTGTTGTTCCTTTATGTCATTTTCATTTCCTTGGACAATGACGCTTATTATGTTTGCATCCTGAAACTAAGATCGCTGTTGAGGAACGCAAACTAAGGTGTATTTCTATTTGGTGAGTACGGGAAGTGTGGGATCGGTAGGAATTAGGTCTAGGTAGTATTTTGCGTGGTGATTTCAGGCGTCAAAATTATGCATTCTTTTCTTGGCATCCCTGTCAAATTGTCAATTGTCCATCGCCATATTAGCTAGTCAAGGGGGAGGACGATTTTTTGATCGGGGTTTGTTAGAGCCAACTGAGAGTTGACTGCGCAGGGGATAAATTCTTGGTTTTACTGTCAGCTGAGCCAGATTACATCGGTAGTGCTGCTCTTCTTTCACCACCGATAAAAGCCTGGCATAAACGAAGAAATAGAAAATATAACTCGGAGGGTTACGCGACCCCTTCTTTTACTGGTGACTAAGTATTCCTTTTGGGAACGGAACGTTCGAACATAATAATGTTATTGTAGTATAGCTAGTGCAGTGATGTAGTGTACATTTCTCCTACTGTACAGTTCAGCTAGCTTGGCACGTTTTAGGTTCTGTGGGACGAAAATGTAGACAATTCCCCCGTCTGTTAGAAGAATATAACATTATATAACGCCCCCTGTTAGTGTCAGAGAGGTAGTCTAACTTGCTGTCTCTCGACATTTATCAACAAATTGGCAGGTAGACAGGGCAGTGATGTAGTTGTGCATTTCTCCTACTGTACGGTTCAGCTAGCTTGGCACGTTCTAGGCTCTGTGGGGCGAAAATGCAGACAATTCCCCCGTCTGTTGGTGGAATTACATTATATAACGTCCCCTGTTAGTACCAGAGAGGTAGCCGTGGGGGTCTAACTCGCTGTCTGTCGACATTTATCGACAAATTGGCAGGTAGACAGCCAAATGCTGCGGGACGCGATGGGTGGCGCACAGACACGGGAGGAAACTGTAGGACTGCGAACTGGGTAATTTAAAACAGTGTTACCAAGAGGTGGTGTTACAGGGATAGGGCGGTTGGACACTGTGTGGCGTTAGGGTTGATCGGAAGTACACGAACTTTGTTGCACGACAATCGTAAATGGTGCAGTGCATGGCAGGAACTTTTGAACATGGTACAAAATAGAGGTATAGAATAAAACATTACAGGCTAGCATGAGTCTTTGTAGGAATTTTTTTTTCATTCAACAACCAGTTGGTGCTGTACATCCGTTTCAGAGACCGTCTGTCACCTCCTTCAAGGAAATAGTGATTGGTTATGATTTCATATACAATCTCTTGCCCACCTGATGAAATTATTCACCCAGATGTAGGAATGTTTTAGAGGTATAGAAAAGTCAGTTGATGTAAAAGTACAGTTCCTAAAACGCCTGAACTTTAGGCCCTCTTTGAGGAACTGTTTTGAAGGGGTGTTAGTAAAATTCAGCAGAAAGAATTGCACCTAAAATGTCTGAAGTTTAGGCTATCTTGTCTATCCGGAACTGTCTTGGAAAGATGTAAAATTCAGCTCCTAAAACGTGTATGGTTTAGGCTATCTTGTCTATAAGAAACTATTTTGGAGGGATGTATAAAATTCAGCTGCTAAAACGTCTATGGTTTAGGCTATATTGTCTATAAGGAACTATTTTGGAGGGATGTATAAAATTCAGCTGCTAAAACGTCTGAAGTTTAGGCTATCCTGCCTCCCCGTCGGGTGGACGGAGGCCCACCTATGGCACCTGTAACTCGAGGCGGGTCCGGGGAAGGGTGGATGTAAACTGTTCGGCGGGCAGTGGAGACAGACTCCCGCTAAGGTTGACGTAACCTTCGCCCTCGTACCCCCGGTCCATCTCCTTCCCAATTTCCTCCTCTCTTGTTACCTGCACAGCTTGGTCCATCTACTTGTTTTTGTTGACGCTATTTAACGCTGGATGGGCTTCTGAATGGTGTACATGTCAAATCCTTCTAATTATATCTCTACCTCTTTGGTTGTTGAACTGGGACTTGTGCGGCAACCTTTGCGCTTGTGTCGATTCAGGTTTCCGTTCAGCCAAATGGTTATATACTCTTTGATTTCAGTATGGAAGATACAGCTATTTATGGACAATGCGATTGAGAAGGTTTGCATGTATTTAGATTCAATTGCTTTCAACGTTGGCGAGAAGAACAGTACATGCAGTAAAATGAAAATGCGTGTGGTAAATGGGAAGCGTCGTGGAGACATACAGAACAAACGTTGACCGGATAGTTCTAGGCTTCAAACCATTTCACAGTACATGTAGTATTAGGTTGCAAAATCGTATGGTAGGCTAACTCCTCGGGCATACTATTCAGTTTATCAGTTTATTTGTCCAATTTCGACTATTTTTTTAGCAACCCGGTGAGCCTTGTAGAGGCTAGCGTTTTAGTGCGATGTTTCCACACACACACACACACACACACACGCACGCACGCACGCACGCACGCACGCACACACACACACACACACACACACACACACACACACACACAAACAAACAAACAAACAAACAAACAAACAAACAAACACAAACACAACAGACAGTGGCTTGCGAATGTAATGAGGTTAGTTTTAAACAAACGCGCTGCTGCTGCGCCGTGGCTAGCTCTCCCGGCCGCCTGCCAGTCGTCAGCACGTAGCGGCCACCGGCGCTGTCTCAGCGGTGCGGCGGCTCCTGGCGCCCCTCCAGCCCGGCCCCTAATTAGGACCCACCGCCGCCGGGGAAGTTCACGGGCGGCGGTAAAGGGCAGGAGACCGGCGGGAGCGTAACCCGACCCGGGTGCCGATGGAGAGAGCAGCGGGCGGGGATGAAGCCTTCACCCGATTCCTTTCCAGACTAAATGAATAGTAGAAATCGGCCCAAAAAGAATGTAGCTGACCAGGGTAGCAGGCCGGCCATAGAGGGTCCGGTTTTATATGTAGGGAAACTGGACCCTCTATGTCTGACCAACTACCATGGCCATTCTTTTTAGGCCGATTTCTACTACTTATTCAGCCTGCAAAGGAGTCTGGTGGAGAGTATGCGGGGACTGCCCGGCTCGGTGTACCCCGTCTCAGTACGGGCAATATTGGCTATGATTTGCCTCCAGGGTGGGCTTAGCTTAGCTCTTTTTGTAGAAAAAAGTCGTGATGGTCAAATCAACGCCAAGGAGAAGCGTGCAAGCTGTTACACCTTTGGTGGGCTGCCACTGAAACACTAGTATAACACAAGTATAAGTGTAGCTGTGACCACTATTTTCCCAGCAACATTGCGAACCTGCATGCCAGATGATACGCCACCTTTTGAGTAGGGGAAAAAGATATATTCCTCTTGATGAAGATAAGGCTGTGTAAGTTGTCTGACTTTCATATCAGGCTTTGGTATTGAGATGAAACAGGATGTTACCTTTTAAGATCACCTGTACAGTCTGGTCTTGTATAGAATCTATTTGAATGGAGAATATACGTATCTTCTGTCTACTCCTGTATGGCCATTGGAAGCCAGTTTCAACGGGTTTGCGTTATTCCCTGTTTGGAAATGACAACGACATCTACTACTGAAATAAAGAAAAGGGACACAATGTTCATACACATACTAGGTACTTATACGTCGGAACTGTATCGGTATAGTATAGTTTTGTCCAGGTGCGTAGTCAAACTGGAAACGTACAAGGATCCGCCAAAGAGCACAGGTGGTGCGTCCTGACATGCTTGGTTCGGGTCTCCATGGTCTTTATCCCCAACACAGTAACGATTCGGCTTGTTAACAAACAGAGTAATGAGCGTATGAACGGTTTCGGACAGGAAAATAACGAAAAGTGACGGGCGGCAGGGAAACCTGTAATTTTGCAGCACTCTGCGTTGTCCCCCCGCGGGTAGCGAGCAGCTGCGCTCCGGGCGGATAGAGATGTCAGGCCGAAGGGCGGCCCGCTGGCTCCTAGCCTGATCGAACCTTGCTTTTCGCCGGCTACCCGGTGATAGCAATCTGAGCGCAGGACAAGAGCTTGTGTACACAGGCTAGCTGGCTCCCTGTTGTACCCAGAACCGTGCTTTGTCTATGACCATGCTCGACACACGGTTCTGGACAGTCTACGCGTATCCAGAATTGTGCTTGGAGCGAATCTACGTTCTTGGATATGCGGAGACTATCCAGAGACGTGCCTGATCTTGACCCTAACCCATTCAGGCATAGAACTAGACAGGCACGGTTCTGCCAGTACGACAGTCCTCTGCTGAACTCGGAGCAAGAGAACAAAATGCTTTGAACATTAAGCGATTTCTTTTAGTTTTTATATACTCAAACCACTTTCGCCTGAACTTGAAAACGTCAACAAGCCGCGTACCAGTGGCTAACTGTTTTATATTTGTGATGCTCCCGTCAAATGTATCGGAGTAGTCTTGCTGTAGAGTATAGTGTAAGTAGCCCTTTGGTCTGCTGATACTGGTCTTACTTTTGCTGCCCCACCCTACTTCCACCTGGACTGGCAAACGTAAACAAACCATGTACCACGGGGGCAGGAAGACCCTACCTTTTACCAGGCTTCAGAAGCGACTGGAAAGATACTCTCCAAGCAGAGGTTTGGGTTTGGGGTTATTTTGGCGTGTTTTTAGGCTTTTTTATCGGGGTTTTTCTTTCGCACTGGAATTTGGGTGAAAAAAAATCCAGTGCAAAAGAGAAACCTCGATATGAAAAGCCTAAAAACGCCAAAAATAACCCCAAACCCAAACCTCTGCTTGGAGAGTACTGGAAAGAGTAGAAAGAGGGAGCGGAAAACTGACACTGTACTGCGGACCAATGGGGGTTAAACCTCCTTGAGCGGACAAACTGCCCTAACATGTTATCTGTCTATTTGGCCAATTCCTACTCTTTCCAGCCGCTTCTGAAGCCTGTCAGAGATCCCCTCTGTCCTTCGTTATGATGAGCGCGGTCTGGAGGTAATATTGAGGTGAAGCCCGGGACAGGACCGGACACGCGTGAGGTCAACCTGGCCGCCGGGCGCTGACGTCTGAGGTCACGGCGACAAAACCGCGAGATGATGAGCGTGTCAGCGGTTCGGAATGTCCGTTTGATCGGTCATGAAATTCAATAAAAACCTGCTGGTAGCTGGTGATTTTGGAAACAGACAGCGGTCGAATAGTTTCTCGTTTTTATAGAGAAAGCAGTTCGTTTTGCTTGGGTTTGGTATTGTTAGACGGTTTGAAATGACCGTTTGATCGGTCGTGGTAATATTTGGAAATAGACAGTGGTCAAATATATAGTTCCTCGTTTTTATAGAGAAAGCACTGGCACAAATTGGTTCCTTGGCAACATCTGAAAGAACTGTTGAGTTAGCACCCGTTTCCAGGGGACAAACACATGGACGGTCCCTTAGAAATTCTCATGAACTGACCCTACCGACCTGCCGAACTCTGAGGTTTAAGAACAGTCCCGTACCATCGATGTTGCGGATCCTGAATGCTAACTGATATTAGAAGCAATTGACATTAATGTATTATTTTAAAATGTATTATTTTAAAACTATGTATTATTTTAAAACTATGTTGTAAATATTTTTAACGTGTCTTGCACAATATGTATGTACAGAAGGCGCAATTCAGCCTGTCCGGCTGCAATGTCTTTTATTAATAAACCATTTTTGATTGATTGATTGATTCCTTTTGCTTGGGTTTGGTATTGTTAAACGGTTTGAAATGAGTGTTTGATCAAAACTCGTGATATTCAATAAAAATCCTGCCAGTAGCTGACAGGTAATATTTGGAAATAGATGGCGGTCGAGTAGTTTCTTCTCGTTTTATAGAGAAAGCACTGGCGCAAATTACTGTATTTCGTTTAGTAAACACACTGTATATTATATCAAGGGATCCGGACTGGTCGGTGGGTGAGTTATATTGTTCTTTGTGTGAGAGGGTCGTCTTTAGGCAAATTGAGAGGAGACGTGTTCTCTTACTCAACAATGATTTGTGCGAATAACACCAAGAAACAAATCGCAAATTCTATTGACCAGTTTTAGAGATCATTCGATTCGGTGCCGAAGGAACTTCACCGACAGTCTTCCCTTTTTTTACTTTCGTTTGTGTCGTTTGTTATGATACATCATTGATGAAAATATACCCGGGATGCAGGGAAGGCAACCAATAAAACCACCAGGTCATATATCCTGTATCCTACTCTATTGCATTTATGTCGTGTGACTGACTGAGATACATTCCGGAGCTCTATTAATCGTTCAAAAGGTCACTGCGCACTCCTAATTTTGTGTTTTGACCTTTGAACGGCTAGGACTTTGAGTATAGGACTATGAATCTGTGTTGACGCATCGGGCTTTAATGTTTACTGCATGTTGTCCACTTTTGTTTACTGTATGTAATAATGTCTTGTCTTGTAATTTTGCTGCCCCCCCCCCTAGAAAACAGCTAATACAAGCTGAATGGGGCCACCCAGCCGTCTTGTGATGAAATGAATAAATAAATTACTAGTGCAATTTGATTTTTTTATCTCCACGAATACTATTTCTTCTTGGGTAAACACTCTCTCGTGGTGTTGGCAGTGACTAGTGCTATCGAGACCGGTGTTCCTATTCTGCATTACAGAAATTCTTCACCACTATGCATCGCTTCCGCGCACAACAATGTTGTGTATCACCTTTCTTGTGTATCACCTTGTTTATGTTGTAGCTGTTGTATTTTGGAATTTTCTTCATATATTGTTTTCTGACTGCTCTATTCTGCCCGCTGGGCGCTCATCGCTGGGCGCTCATCATGAGGGGGGGGGGTCAGGATCAGACAAAATATAACAACTTATTCTTCAAAAGTTCCTTCGTATAAAGTTTCTATTTACATGGAATAATGTAATAGATTTGTAGATTGTTTAGCACCATAATGTTTTGTTATGTCTTGTCAGCAGAACAAGCCCTTTGTAATAGTCACTGGCTAGCTGGGCTGCCCTGGCTGTGAGGTTTGAACAGCCAAACCAATAGACAAAAAATATTCTTCAGAATTCTTATTGACAGTAAATTTCCCCCCTCCCCCCCACAGAACCATCTTCACGTCGTACCAGCTGGAGGAGCTGGAGAAGGCGTTTAACGAGGCACACTACCCTGACGTTTACGCCCGGGAGATGCTAGCCATGAAGACAGATCTACCGGAGGACAGAATACAGGTTTGTTTGTTTGTTTGTTTGTTTGTTTGTTGATGAGGTTTAACGAGGCACACTATCCTGACGTGTACGCCCGGGAGATGCTAGCCATGAAGACAGATCTACCGGAGGACAGAATACAGGTTTGTTTGTTTGTTTGTTTGTTTGTTTGTTGATGATGACGTTTAACGAGGCACACTACCCTGACGTGTACGCCCGGAGATGCTAGCCATGAAGACAGATCTGCCCGAGGACAGAATACAGGTTTGTTTGTTTGTTTGTTTGTTGATAAGGACGTTTAACGAGGCGCACTATCCTGACGTGTACGCCCGCGAGATGCTAGCCATGAAGACAGATCTGCCCGAGGACAGAATACAGGTTTGTTTGTTTGTTTGTTTGTTTGTTTGTTTGTTTGTTTACTTACGAGGCACACTACCCTGACGCACGGGAGATGTTTGCCACACAGACAGACCTACCCCAGGACAGAATACAGTTTTTTTATTGTTCCACACATTAATGAAAATTGTACAACAAAAAGTGTTGCCGCACTCAAGTAGCTAATACATATTTGTTTATTTTGTTTGTTTGTTGTGCCTTGTTATGTTTATCGATACATTACCTCAACCGTTATCTCAACAATGTATGTACGAGGACTCCAGGAAGAGTAGTGGTTGTATTGTCAACACTTGGAGGTTCCTGAAACAAATAAACAAACAAACAAACAAACAAGCAAACATCCGTTATCCTGTGCAAACAACCTCCCGACCGTCAGGTGTTTAACCCCGCGTCGCACCTTATTGACCGGCGCGCCTTGCGTCTCATTTTCCCTGCCCGCGCCTGCTGTGGTTGCCTCATTTTCCCCGCCCGGCTCTAGTTCTGCTCGGTTTCCCCCGCCATGCAACAACTGACCGGGAACAGAGCTGCAGTGTAACGATGGGAACAACAAAGCTGATTGCCAATCGCCTTAATTCTCTCAGTCACTATTGCTGCGCACGGTTGATCGAACAAACGAATATCAAAGCTGTGACGTTATGCATGCAGGCTGCACGGCCGTTTTTCTGAATTACTGTCTTGTTTATTTCTATTTACATTACACATTTTGAACCCAGCATCTTTAAATATTTGGCAAATGCCACGTAGGTCGCCACGCCAAAAATCGAAATTCGTTACGAAGTCAATACAAGAAGAACAGTCGTTACATGAGTAGCAATATGTTTGTTTTCACGGTGGCATTTAGTTGTTTAATTTGCAGTTTTTCGTTGATGCTATAAGTGGACAACGGAACAAAAGGCCAGTGTCAATTGCAAATTTGTATGGGAATTCCAATACAAGAGAGAATCTAGACATTTAGATTTAATGAGGTATCAAACACAGAACGCAGACATTCTCTGCAATCATCCGATCCGACAGAACCACGTACATGGCATCTGTCCTTGGTGCTGAATTCATGGTACCATCAATTAGCTCTGTGGATAGAAATGTTCTACGACCTACCATACATGTGGACTCAACATTTGTTTATACTAGTACGTAAAACGTAAAGAACGATCAGGCAGAATCGCATACATAGGATCTGTCCTTGGTGCTGAATTCACGGTGCCGTCGATTAGCTCTGTTGCAGTTGAGTGAAGTGAAGTGAAGTGAAATAACATGTTGCCAAGCTGCCTCCTGTACATATTACTGTGTACACATCTATTGTACGTTTGTTTGTTTATTTGAATATTTCCTTTCGACCAACTGCTAGATGTATCAATTCCCTTGCATGTACTATGTACACACCTATACTTATTTCTTTATTCTATTTAGTTCAGATTTATTACAGTAAAGTACACCCTCATCCTTCACACGTACCGTCCCTGATCACCTGCCGTTAGCGCGACAGTTCAGACAGCTACTGTAGGCGTCATTTTTTTCTCCCCTCGTATCCGTGCCAGTCAGTAAAGCCCGACAAAAATTCAAAACCTTCCCCCGCCGAACACCAAGGTCGGCTGAAGTTCGGGGGAAGGGCGCAGTAAGACCAGATTTAGGCCCCACCCACCATTCTATATGAATTGAATTTGAGCTAAATTTGAGTCAAATTCGTGACCCCAAACGCTGCTAATGTACTCCCGAACACCAGCCAAATACGAGCCAACTATGGCTGAATCTCCGGAGCTCCAGTCCATACCTGAAGCAGCCGACTCCCTACTCCTACCCAGGGTTGGGGGGAGTTCGGCAGTGTTCGGGAGGCCATATTCTGTATGTGTGACAGGAGCTTATTAGACTGAGTCAGTGCCAGACATGACATACTGCACTCAGCACGCCGCCATCTATCACGCGCAGCCGCTGATTACCTCCCGTTACCGCAGCCAAAAGTTGCAGCCAAAACCCGTTAGATGAAGTCGCGCCGTTTCTGTGTGGATGGGAACGTAACGTGAGTTACATTTCGTTTGGAAGTCGAACTGGAATGTCTGCCTTCCCCTAGGCATATTTTCTTGTGTCTGTTGTGAACATTCAGGCTCTAAATCTGAACGAAAAAGATGCAGAAACTTCCACTGCTTTGTTTCACCGTTCCTTTTTCGGTGTGGATGGCACCGAACGTGAGTTACATTTTGTTTGGACAAGTCGATTCTGCAACGTCAATTCTGGTTGGCTGGTGTTTGGGAGTAGGTCAGTAGTGGTCATTGTGTGGTTGGCAGTCAAATTTGCATCAAATTCAACTCAAATTCGTTTAGATTCGAGTCAAAAGGTAGGCCTTGCCTAAATCTGGTCAGACTGCTACCAACCTACAGCCAACCTCGGTTGGTTTATTAGTTGGTGGTCGGGGTAAGGTTCTGAATGCGTGACAGAGGCTTGAGTTACATTTCGTTTGGAACTCGAACTACGATGTCTCCCCCCCACCCACCCCGACTTATGTTTATTATGAATTGTGAACATTTTTAGGCCCTACATCTGAAAAAAAAAGGAAGCGGCAAAATTTAGGCCCTGAACATGGCGTCCGAACCGGCCATTCATCGCCCTGTCCTGACTTCCATCAGGTTGGACTTGTGTTTATCGTCAATTGTGAAAATTTGGGCCCTGAATCTGAAAAAAAACGACAACATTCAGGGCCAGAACACGGCGTCCGGACCGGGCGGCCATCCCTCATCGCGCTGGCCTGATTGCCTGCCGTTAGCGCGGCCTGACAACGCGATCGATCCTGCACACGGCCGGTTTGATTAAGTGTACTTCCACTGCGGGGTGGGGCGGCCGGCATCAGTCAGACTGCCGGCTGACACATTTAGCGGGAACGCGAGGCTCAACATCGATTCTGCTGTGACAAAATTCACGCTAAATGTTGCTAAATTCACCAAAGAAGAACTTTTTCGACAGGAAAATTATCCCGATGTACTTCCACTGCGGGGTGGGGCGGCCGACATCAGTCAGACTGCCGGCTGACACATTTAGCGGGAACGCGAGGCTCAACATCGATTCTGCTGTGACAAAATTCACGCTAAATGTTGCTAAATTCACCAAAGAAGAACTTTTTCGACAGGAAAATTATCCCGATGTACTTCCACTGCGGGGTGGGGCGGCCGACATCAGTCAGACTGCCGGCTGACACATTTAGCGGGAACGCGAGGAGCTCAACATCGATTCTGCTGTGACAAAATTCTTGCTAAATATTGCAAAATTCACCACATGTATCTGTATCGCCGGTATAACCGCCCTTCGGCGTAACACACCAGCTATAGGGCAGAGAATAACTTTTTCGACAGGAAAATTATCGAAGTGGGGTGAGTGTCATCTCTCAGGCTGCGGGCTGGCACATTTTGGGAATGGGAGGCTCAACGTCAATTCTGGTGTGACACAAAATGTTATAAAATCTACACAAAATGTTACAAAGTTCACCAGATGTAGAGCCGAGACGAACTATTTAGACAAGGAAATTATCCAAGTGTCAAATATAGAAGAAAAAAGACGGCATCACTCAGACTGCCACATCTCGTGAACCGAGGCTCTCAACATCTGTGGATACTTTCACCGACAAAACATTCCCAAACTCACCACATTTAAGAACTATTTCAACAAGAAAACTATCCTAGTGTCTAACATAGAAGAAAAAGGCATCTCTCAGACTGCGAGCTGCCACGTCCCGGGACCGGGAGGCTTGCAACATCAATCCTAGTGTGACGCTTTCTGGTGGTGACAAAATGTTACAAAATTTACACAGAATGTTACAAAAATTCACCAGATGTGGGGCAGAGAAGAACTGTTCCGACTGGAAAATTATCCAGGCGTCTAAAAAGGCGACTGCGGGCTGACACACACAGCTCGGGAGCGGGAGGCTCTCAACATCGGGTCTGGTGAGACTTTCTTGCGGACAGAATGTTCCCGAACTCACAAGAGTAGATCAGTAATAAAAACTATTTCAACAGGAAAACTATCCAACTGTCTAACAGGTCATGAATTGAGGTCATGAATGAAGTTGCTATGATAGTTTGCAAAATCTGACACAACTCGTGTTCAAAATGAAAATCATTTCGAAACATTCTGAGTAGGAAATCTAACAGAGATGGTAACATTCTTGGATATGTAGACTCATATTTGCACAAGACTGAATAAGACCAAATGAAAATATTCTCCCTCTTTGTTGTCTGTCTGTCTATACACCTCATAGCTTTACAATGCCTTTATTAGCTATTTGCGGGGACGTTGTTTGTACACATGTACATCTGTCGCTATCGCGATCTTCGTACATGCGCAAGTTATTATTCATTTTATGGCCGCGAAGATTACCAACGATCCAGCAACAGGCGAAAACCCCTTCAGAGCCCCGTATCAATTCTCGGAAATGAGCCCCCAAATGGACCCGCGGGACGCGCGGGGTTTAATAACTAATTTTCTGGCGAGCAAAAAGCCATTAATGTATTAACGACCCGGCCGTAAATCTCGCGTTAATTGCTCGCTTCTCCGCGCGGATACAATAGCTCTGCCGCCCGGTAATTCCGCCCGAGCGCAGGGCCAAACTTCGCCATGTGGTAGCCTCCTTCGCAGACTCTTTTGGAGCGGCGGCATTTGTTTCTTTTGGAACTGATACGCAATTTCTTCACGGGCTTAATTGTATCTATTGTTCAATCCCTTCTGTTCGATGGTGGCCAACTTGAGACGCAAATTTTTGACGCGGATACCATAGCTCTGCCGCCCGGTAATTTCGCCCGAGCGCAGGGCCAAACTTCGCCATGTGGTAGCCTCCTTCGCAGACTCTTTTGGAGCGGCGGCATTTGTTTCTTTTGGAACTGATACGCCATTTCTTCACGGGCTTAATTTTATCTATTGTTCAATCCTTTTGTGTTCGATGGCGGCTGTTATGTAAGTTTCACCAACTTGAGACGCAAATTTTTGACGTGGATACCATAGCTCTGCCAATCGGTAATTTCGCCCGAGCGCAGGGCCAAAATTTTGTGTACTCTCCAAGCAGAGGTTTGGGTTTAGGCCTATTTTTTGGCGCGTTTTTAGGCTTTTTTATCAGGTTTTCTTTTTTTTCTACTGGTTGTTCCACTTGTACTAGTATCTTGGATGGCAAATGGATACTACCCTGCCAATTTTTATACTGTTTGGCCAATTTGATACTGTCTTACAGCCACCAACAGAGCAGCAAGATGGAATACCTCTTTATATCCAAACCCCAAAAATATTCCATATTTTTTTTATTTTATCGACAAAGAAGAGATATTTTCTTTCCATAATTTCTGTCTAGTTTGAAAATATTCAACTTTTTTTACTTTCAAGACAAGGAAGAAATATTTTCTTCCAATGAATTCTGTCCTGCTGCGACAGGAGCAAGTACACGTTCGTACCAGCACGCCAAGTTTTCAGGAAGGAAACGGAATGACAAAAATCATAAATCATGCCAATCGATAACGTGCATTATCACACATTTGTGACGCGGACAGCTGACGAATGGGCAAGGATCCACCTTTTGGATCCGAGCAGTCACGGGACGGTTTGCTGTGTGGACAGTTCGTGGGGCGGCGAACTGTTCTCTCAACGGCCATACTCCCTTGGCATGCTTATCTCTCTATTTTGGCCGATTTCTACTCTTTCCAGCCGCTTCCTCAAGCCTGGTAGAGGCTAGGTTTGCTGCACTTAAGACATTAAAGGCACAGTCACATTTCCCAACTCGGGGCCCGGCCAGGCAGTCGTTTGGAACGAAAATTATGATAAAAGACAGCAAAACACAATAAACGTTTTAGAAAATTAACCATGAGCACTATTTGTGTAGTATACTCTTAATACAAATTGTTTATTTTTCACGTTCAAGCAAACAACCCGGCCGGGCCTCGGTTGGGAAATGTGACCGTGCCCGCGCCCTAAGACATGGACTATCTGGCTTGGCTGTTTAAAATGGGCATAGAAGGAGACGTTTAAAGGGACATTATGTAACATTTTTTTGCACCAAAAATTGAAATATTTTTATTTTAAAAATCTTCATGTGATTGTCATTTACTTAAACTCTTTCAGCATATTTGTGCTATCATTCCACATTTCTGACATTATGGGTCGGAATAAAACAGCCCACACGAGGCACACTCATTATTTGGCACCACCACAAAATGCCAACATGACTGACAGCCCTGTTGCAAGCTTTTAAGCAACCTACTACCGGTGTAATATCTTGTCACTTCCAATTCCTAAATTAGACTTATTTGAAATAGAGCGAGTAGGGTTGATTCAACTTACTTAGTAAAGAATTGAACAGAAAATTGACTTTTTGTATCGTCCTAATGTTTCATAATGCAGCTTTAAGGCATATTTCTAAATGTACATGAGGGCACCGACTTTTTTGGGTTCGCATGCCAGAACGCTCCTTCACACGACATCCTAACACCCCCGCCACTTACGTATGCAGATCGACTTTTATTTCTTTCTTTACATTGTTGAACAACTCCGGCGGTCGCAAGGATACTCAAGGGCAATTTGGTGTGGCGAGATCTTGGCGGCGCATTTTGCCGACGACAATCGCGCGCGCACTTTCGGGGCCATTCCTCGCCCAACACTCAGACAGCGCGGCGCCCAGATCGCTATCCGGCTGATTTCCGGGATCCCGAGGCTTTGATCTGGCGGAATGGGAGTAGCCGGGGCGGCGGTAAGTGGCGCGCGGGCCGGGCGGCATGAAAGCCCGGCGCAGCCCAGGCGGCATCTCCCGGCCCCGATCTACACCTCACCCCGGCCAGGTAATTTGTCAACCCTCTGTCTAATCGACAAAAAACTCGCCTCCATTACGAACCCGGGACCCACTCTGTGCGCGCCGTGCGAGCGAGCTTTCTGTGTGCGCGAGCTGCAGGGATTATCTTAAGTAGAAAGCTCCCATCAAAACTGCCCTTCGATTCCGGGCTCGGCTCCGCGTGAAAAACTATCAGCTTAGCCCATCAGCCAATCAGCCCGGCTCCGGCAGGCACCAAATGGGCTGACTTGCAATTGTTTGCCTACTTCTACTCCAACTCGTATAAGCCTGTCGCGTAACGGCAGTATTCTTGGTCAGACTATTCCAACGAATACTGTGTGAAGTTTAGATGACTATTTCTAAATGCGTTTTGAACTGCAGCAGATTTTGCGTTTAGNGGTTTTCGATTGCCTTCTGAGGACCTACCATATACATTGTATGTTGGCACAGCATGTTGTTTACGTACGGAACCGCATACATGGCATCTGTCCTTGGTGCTGAAACCACCGTGCCATCAACTAACTGTGGATAGAAATGTTCTGCTACCGACCATATATGTGGACTCCGCATTGTTTATACAAGTATGTAAAAGAATGACCCGTCAGAAACGCATACATGGCATCTGTCCTTGGTGCTGAAACCATGGGGCTATCAATTAGCTCTGTGGATGGACATGTTCTAAGACGGACCATTTATGTGGACCCAAGATTTGTTTATACTAGTATCCGATCGCAACCGCATGCATTGCAACTATCCTTGGTGCTGAATTCATGGTGCCATCGATTTGCTCTGCTGCGGCGACGAGTTAAACATTGCTAAGAAACATTCACTTATTCTGAAATAATATGTTGCCAAGCTGCCCTTACATGTATCCATGACTCCTGTACATGTTACTGTGTACACATCTATTTTACGTTTGTTTGTTTGTTTATTTATTTGTTTTTTCCTTGCGATCAAATGCTATGTCTCTATACATGTATATACATCCATTCTCCCGCATTAGTTTCTCTGTGGAATTATGTGCATCTACATCGTACGTCATTTAAAACTGTGCAGAAAATGTGCTTTTGTAAACCAGCTTTGAGTGTACCGTTTTGGGTAGTTTGTGCAAGCTTGCTCTTTCTTCTCCGGGCCTGCATAAACTAGTCATCTGTGCTGACAAAGGCTGTTGTGTTAAGCGTGAGAGGTTGGGATATTCTTGGTTTTAACAGCATCGTACATACGTGTATGTATTCTAATAAACACGTGAATATACCGTGTCAATTCTACTGCTGCAGCCTGGGACTAAAGCCTGGAGTTCCCATCCTTGGTATTTACTGGTTTATATAACAAAGGTAGGTGTCGCTCGCGAGCGAGAAGAAAGAAAAAAAACTTGCACATACAGTTTCCAACGGAAACTGCCTGCTGGTTTGTGGTACGAGACCTCTTATGAAACCCAACCCTAACCCTTCCTTCCCTCCCCCTTACCCCCTTCCCCAGGTCTGGTTCCAAAACCGGCGCGCGAAGTGGCGGAAGAAGGAGAAGACTTGGGGTCGCAGCAGCGTGATGGCGGAGTACGGACTGTACGGGGCGATGGTCCGACACTCGCTGCCGCTCCCTGAGTCCATCCTGAGGTCCGCCAAGGACGGGATCATGGAGTCCTGTGCGCCCTGGCTGCTTGGTATGTACCAAATCCTTCGACCTACGTACTCGTCTCCAAGCAGATCTTTCGGCGGATACAAAACAGCAAGTATCAAATTAACAAGTATCCGCGCGCCAGGGTTTGGCTTGCGAAAAAAAATATACCGGTACAAAAAAGAAAAGACCGATAGAAATCCATAAAAAGGTCAAAACGCCGAAGCCTAAACCTCTGCTTGGGGAGTACCAAATCCTTCCACCTACCACCTTCCACCACCCTAGTAATTACCGCAACCTCAATCCTAGGACTTTTAACTTACTGTCTAGCCTCTACCCAGGCTCCCCAAGTTGCCGTACGCTTCTTTCTGGTCTTGGTTGGGTCATTCACATACACTAATCCGTCGTTTTCTGTTATGACATACCGTGCATGCTTCTCACTTCTTCATTTGGTACAGGAAAAAGGGAACTTAAAAATCAACTTAAATTTTCGTTGAATTCGTGTCTCCTTTGGTGCCGAGTACTGGCATATAAAAGAAAGTATACGGTAGTAGAGAAAAGACAGTTGTAAAACTACAATGATCAATAGTTGTAAAATCGTATGCTTTGTTCCAACACAACACAACACAACACAACACAACACAACACAACACAACACAACACAACACAACACAACACAACACAACACAACACAACACAACACAACACAACACATCACAACACAACACAACAGAAACACCATGTGTTGGGACAAAGCTTAAATTTGTACAACTTTGGATACTTTATTATGTCCGTTAGCTGACAGCTATTGATTCCACGAACATATATCAGCTTTTAATTTGAATCACAACAATCAGCGTTATGTCCACGTATTCACGTGGCTCTTTCCCACTTTCCACTTCTGACATGACCGCAGGGAATGCAAAAAAAAGTCAGTGGAGATCCAGCAGTAACTATAGATTCTACCACCACACATCAGCTCTTCATTTGAATCACAACATTCGACGTTATGTCCATGTATTCACGTGGCTCTTTCCCACTTTCCACTTCTGACATCACCGCAAGGAATGCAAAAAAAGTCCGTGGAGATCCAGCAGTAACTATAGATTCTACCACCACACATCAGCTCTTCATTTGAATCACAGCATTCGACGTTATGTCCATGTATTCACGTGGCTCTTTCCCACTTTCCACTTTTGACATGACCGCAAGGAATGCAAAAAACCCCACCACATTGTGTTGGAACAAAGCTTTTAAATTCTACAACTATTGCCTCGACAAAACACACTACACGAGCTCTTCATTCGAATCACAACATTCGACGTTATGTCCACGTATTTACGTGGCTCTTTCCCACTTTCCACTTTTGACATGACCGCAGGAATGCACAAGAACCCACCATATTGTGTTGGAACAAAGCTTAAAATTCTACAACTATTGCCTCGACAAAACACACTACACGAGCTCTTCATTCGAATCACAACATTCGACGTTATGTCCATGTATTCACGTGGCTCTTTCCCACTTTCCACTTCTGACATGACCGCAGGAATGCACAAGAAGTCCGTGGAGATACAGCAGTAACTATAGACTATAAACTATAGACTCTACCACTTTTCATTTGAATCACAACAATCAGCGTTATGTCCATGTATTCACGTGGCTCTTTCCCACTTTCCACTTCTGACATGACCGCAGGAATGCACAAGAAGTCCGTGGAGATACAGCAAGCGCTCACCACGGGAGGCGCGCAGAAGCCCGACTCCGCGGAGGAGATGGAGGAGGCCCACGAGGAGGTGCAGGAGAAGGAGAGGCCGCCGTCAGGTGAGAGGGTTTTTACTTATCTAATCATCGAGACTCACCACACATTTTGGAAGGATTGATATAACAGGTGACTATCACCTTTTCAACATGCCAACCCTGAGACCAGACTACGATTTGAACCACTTTCTATTCAAAAAGTGGTGGTGGGATCTTATACGTGCTCGAGCTGTGTCTCCCTTCAAACCTTCCTTTTACGTCCCATCCGAGAGGACGTCCCCAACCGAAGCTAGGTACTCATAGAGAGTCATGTTTTGGATGTAGAAGTAAGACCGTATACAGAAGGGTGACCTCCCGCGCGCGCCCGAATTGCCTGCTTCAGATTCTACAGTAACTGTAATTAGTTTTCCTTCTAAGAAGTGCGTCACACTGTTTATCAGTTTGAAAGGATTCAAGGTATGAAAAGAGTATATCATTGATTTTTTTCTCTCAATGATCATCTCTTCATATTTGATAGAAATATGAAAACAGCATCTTAGGAGTTGCTCTCAATAAAACTTATTTTTCTCCCTTAACAGTACACGAAGAAGCTACGTCCAAGGAGGAGATGAGATCGAACAGCATCGCCACCTTGCGGGCCAAGGCACAAGAGCACCATGCAAAGGTAAAGCTGTAGTAACAAACTTGAAATAAGCACTGCAAAGCCGCGAAGCTCTACATTTTCGAAAAAAATATGGCAAAGACGTTGCGCTACTTACTTCAGGGCTGCGTATGCAGGTTAGTGCAGGCGACATTGGAGCTGTGCAGGTGTCTACGAGTACATTGTACCAAGGACATTATACAGAACGAGTACATCGCACATACTACGAGTACATGGACCTGCACCGGTCTATCTACTGGGTTTATATATACGTATGTAGATTTGTATTTGCTGCAGTTTCTGACCAGTTTTAGTACGATCTATAAGTTCTGTGTGGTGCAGATAAATTTGCCTGTTACGGTCAATGTTACCTGCACTGGAATGCAGGAAAAATGTGTTACCTGGTAGATGTCAGCGGAGATATGGTACATCATAACTAGGAATGTAAGTAGTGAAAGTTCGAAGGAATTGAAGAGAACCTTCGTCGTTACCATTGCGTCTCACCACGGTTTCCTGTCTCTGCCCGGCCTGTAGGTTCTTGAAGAAGCGGAGAGAGACCGCGGTACGGGGGACGGCTGCAGTTCCAGACCGGTCAGCTGTAGGCAGGAGGCGTCACCGCACACACCCGAACAACACTCACCCGACAGCGATAGCGAGGAGAAATGTCTGGATCCAAACTAAACTAAACCAAACCCACTGTATACAATCAAGGGGCATTAGCATGAAAGTTCGTCTGTGTTGGTATACTTCATTATGCATGACAAAAATGACCAAACGTTCTTGCCAACACTGAGTAAAATGCGACTTACCCAAATTAGAAGGCAGAAGAAGCATGTACGATCCTTTAACTCTATGGTAGAAGGATCCATTCCGTGAACAAGGCTGACGGAGTCGGCCGAAAATTTGGGTAAGTCCCAATTTACTCAGTTTTGGCAAGAACGTTTAGTCATTTCTTTGTCACAATCAAGGGACATGTAGTCAAATAAATACACAACTTTGCTGTTTCCATTGATGGACCCATGTTTAGTTTTCACGGTTGTATACGAGAAATATATATATCATGTCCATCTATTACTAGTATTTCAACCAGCATGTATTTTGTAGGATCGAAGCTCATGTAAAAATGCAAAGGTCTCGCTAATCTTATTATAGTATCCATATACCCACGTCCTTTCGAGATCTTTCGGGTATCCTTTTTGTATATATAATAGGTTAGGAACAATACATCGCCTCGGTGGTTACGTCATGTCTGTTGCTTAGCAACGTATTCAAGTTCAAGGTTACAAGCCTCTTACTATCCTACAACTGTTTGTAACAGGATCATTCAACGCTACTTTGGCTTTGAGTATTCCCATTTCGCAAACGTTTTACTGACTTCCCCTAAAATAGTATCGTGGCTTACATAGTACATTACTATGCCACCGGTCATATTTATAATATATCTGCATGTCGCTTTGTCACTTTCACATGTATACATCACACCGTGTATAAAAAAAAAAAAAACGAAGTAAGCAACCAACATCTATATAGCATCTATATCTTTGATCCTAGACGATCCAAGTAATTTATACAATTTGTGTTTCTTGTTGCTCCTTTCAAGAAGTCAACCCCTGTACATATATCAGATATCCATATGGAGCAAAACTGATGTGCTTTTCCTGCTCAACCAGACGCAGCCTTTCCTTTCGAGGTGACCCGCTGGTTTTCTCCGGTCTTCCATGTACACACAGACTTAGATATCCCCCTGCGCAGACTTTTTATAACGACCTGCGTATTTCTATCTAGTATGAGCGCGGCGGTTTCCTTACGCTAGTAGGGGAGCTGTATCTGGAGAGAACTAGTCGACTGGTATTCTAACTTGTTAACTTGGGTCCATGTAGCGACGTAGGGAGCGGACCAATTAGCTAACCAGGCGGGATTCCAGTCCAGGGACCTAGGGCTGTATCTCTGTGAAAACCGGGGCCCGGACGGACAGTCTTATGGAACGGAAAGTATGATATAAAAAAAAAAGCACAAAAAAAAACTGAAAAAAAATGATGATGGGAGCTATTTGCGTATATCATTGATATAAATTGTTGATTTTTCCATAATCGACACAGCCCGGTCGGGCCCCGGTTTGGAAATGTGACCTAAGCCACATGGCGCTTTGATGACCTCCAACTTGCACAGCAGACACGTCTACTCCGATTGTCGGGATGATTCCCGGGTTTAATGCCGGATAATCCTTCATCGCGCAATTAGCGTGATCCCTTAATAGGCCCAACGGTAATTTGTCAAATCCAAAAATTGGCGACCGCCCGAGGCTTTGTGCTACATGATGGCACGCAACTTGAACTCAAAAGCGCCTTTGCGGACGGGATTACCATCAACCTTTCACTTCTTTTTGTTGACCTGGCTTATAATCGGATAGGATCGGATTAACATGACGCGATCAATTATGACACAGCAAATTCGTCTCTGCAAGGTAAAATTCAAATCGTATTTTAACGTTTCCTCTAACTTACACTGCTGAGCTACGCTAACAAAATGATGCCGGAAAAAAAGATCAGTTGGTTTAAGATCTGATTTCCGATCAAATCTGATTCAGTGGTGGAACAAAGTTGACTGAGAATTAACGATTTTGTACCGGTATTGTCAAGCCGTATCTCAAATGATCTTGACCAGGGTGAATCTGTACCATGGAAGTGAAGATGCCTATGAGGTCATAGTTGTTCAATCTTTACCCACTGCTTGTACAATCTTATATCTATATATCTGTACTGTTCTGTAACGCGTTATTCGCCAAGCGATGTTTGTTGTCTAGAAGTGCCCAGCATGCTGACAAGGTTTCACTTTATACCCTTATCTGATGGGCCGTTTTTGCCCGAATCTTTTTTTTTTATATTTGGTACCTATTGCATTTAGCAGAACTTGATTATTCGGTTGTGTATTCGAAAAAAAATCACAACTGTAAGGTTATATTATATTATAGTATTAAGGACGTTCTATCAGAGGTTATATCTACCTGCCAGAAAAAAATAATTTTTCAGGCACATCAGTTGAAGACTACCTTGCCCAGTCTGTATGTAGCACCCATTGTATGTTGTGCATGTCTTGTGTTTTCGTTGCTCTGTAAATAAAAGCCTGTGCTTGGAACTTGGCGTATAGTGTTTTTTTTTTAAATTCTACTTACTGAATACGAGTAAACTAATAAGCAAGGAGGATTGAAAGGATAAAGAGCCATACACGTAGCTGATTGATTTTAATAACAAGTGTGCCATGTTCACTATTCAACGTAAGAATGTACAGTAGTATAAGGCACCCAAAGTGATTTTGGGGCAGTAAACCTGAATTTTCAATTTTTTAAGAATCTAGTAAGTTGAATCAACCCTATCCCATAGCTTATTAGACACTTTTGGAATGACAAAGAAAGGTTCCCTACTAGCTGAAAGTTTAAGACCACATGACACCAATAACACAAGTGCTGAAAACAACAATTCCTGAAAATGGTCAAACGTAATAGGTATCAGCCAGCTAATCCAATTGAATGACGTTATGTTGAGCCTGGCAGTCGAACCAGAACAATACAAAATTATGTAAAATTGTTTGCTTTTGTTTCAGTGTTATTGGTGTCATGTGATCTTTATAATAATGATTGTCACGTGATGTGGTGCTCTTTGAAGTAGGCACAAGCTGGGCATTACTTCTCAACAATTATCATTATTTTCACATAATCTCAAAAGGGACTTCTAGACTTGAATAGATTCAAATTCTGGACGGATCACAGAAATAGCATTTCTAATGCTCATCCCATATTTGAATATCGAGCTCTCAAGCAGAAGCTCCCCCTTGAGGCTTTTCCCATAACTACAAGTTCATCTGAAAGGTTTTAGTATAGATTTCAGTATATTATAGCTATTTTACAAAATGATACTGTTAGGCTTTGATAGGACTCTGCTTTCCATCCTCTCAGAAATATTTCAACATAGCTAGCATTTACATCAGCTCTTTCTCTTCTTTGTAAAAATTTCAAACTTTACACATTGCTGAAAAAGCTATAACCTTCTATGTGAAGGTAATAACATGTTCTTAATGCAGATACTAGTACTTTCCACACATTGCCAAAATGCATCATCAAAAGCAAGGTAAAATGAGTAAACAAAACCTTGTGATAACCTAACTTTTTGCCCTAACTTTCTACACTTTGGTACACTTAGCTATGTATTACATTTATAGCTATATATTGTATTTGGTGTTACAGAACCCTTTGGTCTACATCGATGTTACGTCATCTTGCAATAGCAACCAATATCATTACCCTGATTTAGATTTGTGATACAGTAGTTGATCAATAGTACAACAGGGAGGGACTATTTTTATACAATAGATTCTGAAAGATACTAGCCTGGGTGCCATCCGATTTTTTCGGCGTTGCCGTTACAAATCAGATGGCACCCAGGCTAGAAAGATACAGCAGCAGTTGCTTAATGTTATGCCATATGAAAGTCAAAATTCATATTAATGTATCTGGAATGCCACTGGCTGAGTGATCACACAGGGCCAGGGACAGGAGGGAGTGGAGGAGGCTGATACTGGATACCAACATAGTCCCCGACCCTCAGACATGAGGATGGGACTAGGCAGGCAGGCAGGCAGGTATCTGGAAGCACTGTCAATTCAAAACTGTGACTGAATGTTATTCACAGAAACTGTTGACAATGTAAAACTCTCATAGTTCAGAAGAATTTAGGAATGGTCCTGACACAGTTCACACTAGGTCAATCTACCTGTACAATTACAAAAATTAGAGATGGATGAAAACCTGAAGAGCTTCAGCCACACTTGGGATACCATCCAGAGAACAGTGCAGGACAGAGGGAACTGAGAACCTTTGTTGCTGCCCTACATGCCGCCGGGACTGGCATTAAGGGCAGTAAGTAAGTTAGTAAAACCTTCATCAGGACATAGATGCACTGAGGCTCTTCTCAGACGTGGACGTTGAGCTCAGGGTAGGTGAGCTGGTACTGTCTCTCCTCTCCTTCCTCTCATCCTCTCCTTTCTTCCCATCCTCATCCTCTGACCCTTTGCTGTCGTCTTCATCTTCTGACAGACTGAGAGGAGACCCAGCAGGGGCGTGCCTGTCGTCTTCCTCAGCGTGTCCGTTTTCTGTCCTCACTTCTGAAGCGTCTTCAGCGGCTTTGGGGAGAGTGTCTGTGTCGTCCAGGCCGCCGCCCGTGGCCTGCTTGTTCAGGATGTTCTCGTACTCCCTGCTGACGTCCTCGGGCCCGAATGTGTCGCTCCCCATGGTGGCCGGCTGGTCGCCTAGCGTGTCCTCATCATCATCAGGCCTGGGGCGGAGGGTGTAGCGGGTGTCGGGGGCCTTGGAGTCGTCTGCAATGCCCAAGTCTTCTCGAAGGATGTCAATCATCTGGTGCATACGAGTCTAGGAAAAGAGGTATTAGGTTACAGATATAAGATGGAAGAAGTTGTACATAAAGAAGGAATCATGTTGTAAAGACACAACTGTGATAGCCACACATCTTTTTTTTTAAGCACATACACAATTACAACCCAATAGAATAATTCCTGGCCATTTCATTACCTCGTTCAATTCTCCTCTCCTCTTCTGGACATGACTGTCAAACACTTGCAGCAGGACCCTGTGTTGGCAAAACACATATCAGTGAATATCCTGTGCATCAAAGTTAAATACATTGTACTTTCAATACTTTGTTATCTTTGTCCTTGTCTTGTTTTCAAATCAGAATATTAAATACACTTTTCTTAACTTTGGATTTGGTCAGCTACACTTCAGGATTAAGTAATGAAGAAAGTAAACTTGAAAAGTCTGGTGAAGTTGAAGTGCCTGTAACAAGCTTTTCTTACTTCCATGAATAATTTCACCAGTTAGGTGAATGATTGAATGGCAATGAACCCTGTTCAGGTCGATGTTAAATCCCGAACACCCACTACACGACCTGGTGCCCCCCCAGAGAGCAACTGCTACCGGCAGGATCCTAAGGAACAGCCAGGCCATGAGTGCTCCCAGGGCTAGGACAAAGCGGCTCCAGCAGTCCTTTCTCCACAGGGCCATAGCCCTATACAACAAAGAACTGACATATCACTAGTTTTTATTTTTCCTAAACCTCATCTGTATATAGTTTTTTGCTTGGTACAAATTCTTTATGTAATACTATTTAATTATAGTGTATATTGAGGGTGTGTATATAGTGTCTGCTTTGCCTATTGTAACTTTTTTTTCTGTACGCAAACTCTTTCAATTCAGGGATTCTCATCCCTGCTGCAAGGTTTGCTTTTGGTGTTGAAATAAATAAATAAAATAAAAAAGTTCTTTATTCACAACCACATAACAAGAGCCGATGTTTTGATGACTGCCTGTTGTCTTCTTTAGAAATCTTCATCATAATTGCCCTGATGAAGATCATCGAAGCGTCGGCTCTTGTTATAAATTGCTTTGCCATTTGGTATTCTTACTTGTTGGTAAAGATTCCCCTCGCCAGTATGTCATTTGTCACGTCTGTTACAAACTCCAGGTACTTCAGCTCCTCCTCCCTAGGGAAAACCACAATGATCATCTTATGAGACTTTGTGACTTTATTAAATGAAATCCATATAACAGATAAAGAAACTCCTGGTCCTACAAAGTTTGTCCAACTTTAACCAAGTTGTGATAACAGGACAATGTACCAGTAAAAGATCAGTTGACATGATTTCCCAATCAAATTTCTTTTAGTTATGGAACAATGTTGGAAAACTGGTTTGTAAGTATTGTAATGCAAAAGCTACAGTATGTGCAACAACAAGACTTACTCTGCCTCTATCTGTTTCATAGTCTGAGACTTGGTCCTATTCTTTGTGCTGTGAAGGTGAAAAAAAACAAAACCGGTGACTTTAAGGACAGCAACTTTACTTTACAAAAGTGCACAAACTATGAACTCTAAAAGCACTTGTATCACCTTAGGACACCACAGACAGCACTGGTGCAGGTAACATTGAAAGGCCGCCAAGTTCTGTCCTATTTTATCTGAATAAAGATCTGTCAAGTTTATTACTGTTTTTATCTTATTGAGGAAGTTAAGAAGAATATATAATCAATTTGTCAAATCGTTCAGGAACAGGAACAGGTCCAGATCCTAAGCCTCTGTACTGGTATCTGTACCAGTCCAGTACCTGATGTTACATTTACTAGGTATGTCTCCACACACACGTACCTGAATCTACCACATACCTGTACATGGACCTGTTAGTGTCAGACATCCTCCTCTCAGCCGGCTGGGGCACTGTGCTCCAGGAGTCCTCCTTCACTGTCAGTCTCTCCATTCTCCTGGAGTAAAGGAGTCAGTCAGTACATTGCCAATCATGCCATCCACATTCAATATTCATCTTACCAAACAGGAATTTAATCATTATAAAAATTATAATTCTTCATTTGCAAAATCATGCCTAAAGGCTAATTGCATCTACAGTGTCAAACAAAGTAAACCAATAGAGAACATACAACTCAAATGTCGGATCAACTTATGCCACTACTGTAACATACTTCGCCTGTCCTTCCACCTATCTGACAATTATAATTCTTCATTTGCAAAATCATGCCTAAAGGCTAATTGCATCTACAGTGTCAAACAAAGTAAACCAATAGAGAACATACAACTCAAATGTCGGATCAACTTATGCCACTACTGTAACATACTTCGCCTGTCCTTCCACCTATCTGACGGACTGACCAAACTCCAGCCAACCTTGCTCCCGACCTACTCCTAACCATGGTTGGGGGTAGCCTATGTAACCCAAGCTCCAGGGGGCTCCCTACATAGTACTCCACCCAAGAAGAGGGCCGGCTGGATGGTGGGCGGCCAGCAAAAGTGATTTAATCAGGCTAGGTTGGGGGAGTTTATCAGTGTTCTGGAGGCCATATTCGACTGTGTGCAATTGGGGTTTTAGCAGTAGCTTTCTTTCAGCTGTAACATTGAGGCATCATGACTAGAAAGCTTTAAAAAGCTCCTCCAAATAAATGTGCAAAGATTGGGTGAAACAGGTCACTCGGTGTAATATAGCTAGCTGCTGCTGCACCGCGTGACTGTGAAGCTGGTGTGTTATGCCAAGGGGCATTTATACTGGCTATATCGATACAGATACAGATACAGAACATACTTCGCCTGTTCCTCCACCCATCTGGCATGGTCAGCATCCTTCTCGATGTCCAGTGGAGGCACCCGGCTCTGTTCCTCCTGTCTGGAGGCCCGCGGGGCAGGCTGAGGCGGGACGTCCGTGTAACTTAGCTCACTCATGTTCAGGTCGCTCGCAACACTCTGTCTCCTGGGTGGGTAAGAACAACAGGACGCACTGGTACATGGGACAGGCACGTTACACCTATTTTCACAGGTGAAAATGAATACCTAGCTTTGGTTAGGGATGTCCTCTTGAATAGGACTTAATAATAAAATGAAGGCCCCATGTTTGAGGAGAGACACACCTCAAACACATTTAAGATGCCAGTGTGAGTGGTTCAAACCTGACAGTCTGGTCTCAGAGTTGACGTCTTGAAAAGGTAACATCTGTGTCCATAATATCACCAGCGTCCATAATATCGCCACCTTGAGAAATAGTGTGGTTTAAGATATTTTTACTGCAACATACCCTAGGTATGTACATTTGAGGTGGGGAGGAGTGCATACCAAAAGTACGTTGCAATAAAAATATCTTGAAGCACACTGTTTCTCAAGGTGGCGATATTATGGACCCTGGTGATATTATGGACACAGATGTTAATAGTCACCAGTCCTGTTATGTCAATAATACCACAACAATACCACAATGCGTAATAATTCTTGACAAATGAAATAAATGGTACCGGGTATTAGTAATTAGAGGGTAACCTCTGCCACTTAACATATTTGTCTGATATCTCTACTCACCCATCACCATCATCAGATGCTGTTACATTTACAGAAAATTGCAAAGCAATTGTTCTACCACAGACATACAATCCGTGTCCATAATGTCACCAGGGTCCATAATATCGCCACCTCGAGAAATAGTGTGCTTTAAGATATTTTTACTGCAACATACTTTTGGTTCGCACTCCTGTACACCTCAAATGTACATACCTAGGGTATGGTGCAGTAAAAATATCTTTAAGGACACTATTCCTCAAGGTGGTGATATTATGGATCCTGGTGATATTATGGACACAGATGTTAATTGTCTGAGACTTCTACCCACCCATCATTATCCGCAGGTTTGGGAGGCTTTTTCCTGCGTGGCGCGTTGTAGCACTTGGACTGGGCCAGTCGGGACTGGACCCCGGTCCGGTTCAGGGTCCTGGGAGTGAAGGGGCGGTCCGGGCTGCGGAACTTGTGCGCCCGCGTGTTCAGGATGTCCCCGTCAGGCGTGTTGCGGGGAAGCTGGTTGACTTTCGACTGGTCCGCCGCGTTTGTCGTTCCGCGGGTGGTCGCCATAGGAACGCTGCCGGTCCTGCTCCGTGCGCTCCTGGCACTGTACGCAGAGCGCGGGCGGGCGGGGGCAGGCGACGCCACCTCCTGGGCAATGTCTACAGCCGTCTCCAGGTCTTCTGGGTACTGGGAGAACCACACAAGTTAGTGAAGGTAGGCAATGTGGAAAAAACTTTCAAAGCATGTATATACACATATCTTGGTTTAATTGATACAACTAGAAATAATATGCAGCTATTATCAACCACTATCCAGCAATCTTCACCAGTGCATTAAAAGCAGACGAAATGTCTGAAACTGCAGTTTCCAGTTGTGCTGATTATATCCTGGATGAGTAACCTTCATAAACTATATAGTAGAGGGGATTCATTCCTCAAGCTACCGACATCTTGCACACGCAGTCGTCCCTCAGTAAGACATCTGGAGCCGCATAGTTCCCGTTTAGAACTTTTATTCAGCCTGTCACAGTCAGTATCTTTGCTGTGTATTCGCAGGACGACTACAAGAGAATTAGTGGAACCAACCTTGGTGGTGGAACATTCCTTGGCCTGTGTTGCCTGCTCACAGGCTGTGACACATTCGAGTGTGACAGGCTGAATAAAAGTTCTAAACGGGAACTATGCGGCTCCAGATGTCTTACTGAGGGACGACTGCATGTGCAAGATGTCGGTAGCTTGAGGAATGAATCCCCTCTACTATATACTGGAGTAGTAACCTTCATAAACGTTTGACATGTGAAGAATCTAAAGCTAAAGTAAAGAATATGATGAACAAACTTTTCCCTTCATGACAGCAAAGCTTCAAAGGCTGCTGTGCATTTTGTGAACTTCAGAAAGCTGGAAGGACTATGTATGTCACACTCATACATCCCTATAGCTGTCTTTCCCTCCTGAAGCCCTACCTGTGGCTGAGCAGAGCGCGGTCTCCTGGGCCTGGGCTGGGGGGGGATGTTAGACGGGACGATGTTGGGGTTACGGTAGTGGCTGGGGGAGCGGTGCCTGTCCTCCAGGATATTCTCCAGAAGGTCAAGGTCACTCGCAGACAGATCCTAGTAAAGAAATACAACCCTTCACCTTAAACTCAATGAAACCTTAACCCTTATGCATGCTAGAAACAAGAAAAATTCTGATTGCATTTCTCTAAATTGTTAATTTACTATATTCACCAAATATGTGTACCAATATTCAATCAGTGTGCAAAATATGTTTTAAGTACCTGTTCTGGGTGCTGTGCCTTCATGGGTGTGTTAGCTGGGTGTATCTCCTTACCTGTTCTGGGTGCTGTGCCTTCATGGGTGTGTTAGCTGGGTATATCTCCTTACCTGTTCTGGGTGCTGTGCCTTCATGGGTGTGTTAGCTGGGTGTATCTCCTTACCTGTTCTGGGTGCTGGGCCTTCATGGGTGTGTTAGCTGGGTGTATCTCCTTACCTGTTCTGGGTGCTGTGCCTTCATGGGTGTGTTAGCTGGGTGTATCTCCTTACCTGTTCTGGGTGCTGGGCCTTCATGGGTGTGTTAGCTGGGTGTATCTCCTTACCTGTTCTGGGTGCTGTGCCTTCATGGGTGTGTTAGGTGGGTGTATCTCCTTACCTGTTCTGGTGCTGTGCCTTCATGGGTGTGTTAGCTGGGTGTATCTCCTTACCTATTCTGGTGCTGTGCCTTCGTGGGTGTGTTAGCTGGGTGTATCTCCTTACCTGTTCTGGGTGCTGTGCCTTCATGGGTGTTAGCTGGGTGTATCTCCTTACCTGTTCTGGGTGCTGTGCCTTCATGGGTATGTTAGGTGGGTGTATCTCCTTACCTGTTCTGGGTGCTGTGCCTTCATGGGTGTGTTAGGTGGGTGTATCTCCTTACCTGTTCTGGGTGCTGTGCCTTCATGGGTGTGTTAGCTGGGTGTATCTTCTCACCTGTTCTGGGTGCTGTGCCTTCATGGGTGTGTTGGGTCGTGAGCTCATCCTTGAGGCGCTGCGGGCGGACTTCAGCTCCCGCTGGAACTTCTTCATCTCCTTCTCCAGCATCAGACGTCGCTGCTGGTCACGATCTGGTCACAGCAGGGATAGACTCTTTACTGACTCGTTACTGACTCGTTACTGACTCGTTACTGACTCACTACTGACATGTCTGCATAACATATCTGCTGCAGGGTAAGCACATTGACAGAACAGACTGCACCTGCACAAATTCATGGCTTACAAAATATAACATTACATGGGTCTACTAACATTGTTTTAGGTAGTATAAAATCAAACAAGCTACAGGATGCTACAAACTACAGGATGTTAATTGGCATGTTAAAGCACAACTAAACATACCGTATATCAAATGCTGTATGTCTCAAAATGTGATTGTTCTGTTTTTCCTATTGTAACCAAAGACATCAGACTATTAGTAAGTCTTCTTACATTTGACACTTTTGACCATAGAGGCGGGCACCCTGTTGTCAATGGCAGCTGGAAAACAAAAGATCTCATGTTTGATCACATTGTCAAATATTTCAAATTCTGTCCTTAATAATGAAATAATTTTTTTTTTTAAACCGAATTTAACGTCATTTTTCCCCAACCGGTTGCACAAGTCTTATTTTGAAGCAAGATTTTTACGGCTGGATGCTCTTCCTAACGCCAACCCAAACCCTAGTAGGGCCTGGGATCCCTCTAACTGAGGGGGGAAATGTGTGTTAAGTGCCTTTCCCAAGGGCACAATGCACAGGAAAATATATTATGATCATCAATGACATACCAAAAGTGCACTTTTCAATTCTGAGGAGAAGTAACTATACCAGCAAATAATGTTGACTAGTTACTATACTGTAGCTGTGAAAATGTTGGTGATATTTTCGCTCACGTTTGGCAGTTGACAGTTTCTTGTAGTGAACACTCAGGTGGTCCTGGATCATGTACTGCTCTGTGATCTTGTTAGTTGAAGGAGCAAAGGCTGCAAACACAAACAAAACACACAAGTCAACTCCTGAAAGGATCTTTTTTCCTATCATCCAAGCTGTTGATGTCTATGTATAACCACAACTGTAAATAAGCCTTTGTTGGCACTTACTGTAATGGCATACTTAATTATTAATGAAGGGCAATATGTAACTTAATGGTAAGTAGCTGCAATTATCTACACACTAAAAAACAGACAATGTGTCACTACTGGTAAGTGCTTCCATTTGCCAAAAACTGTGGATTCTTTAATTTGATGCAACCTGATGCAACAGATGGCAAATGCATAGAATGATGCCATGATTAATGGAGACATTGTGATACCAGCAAATTTAATGCTAAAGTGCATTATAAGTAGTCAAATACACCAGTAAATCCTGACAGTGATAATGATAATACACACACGTAGGTGCAAATGTGGTAGGGATATAAATGCTGGTAAATTTGAAATACATAATTAAGCACTCTATGAATAGCGGTTAAGAGAAAACAAAATTCAGTTCAAATGATAATTTCTTTGATTGCTCATAATGCTTTTCCATGATCTTGTGGAATGAAACATGATGACTCCTACACTACATAACACAGAAGTTAAAACCTTTTCCAAGTATTAAGTAAACCCTTACTAAAGTAAGTTACAGCAAGAAATACTAGTACATATACAATGTAGCATACAATACACTCAATACACTCTAAAAGAGTACCCCAATGTTGGTATATGGTGCACACCAAATCTCTATCTATGTTTCTAACTTGTTTCACACCATGCAGAGGTGAAATGCAGCATGGATTTGTGAAATTTGACTTTACTGTATATGTAAGACTAGGACTGATTGGTGACAATGCAAATCAAATATCTAGTGATGAGCATAATGTAAAAGACACTAAAACTATGTGACACGCATCTAACAGGTCTATCTCTAGAGTGTAGAGGGCTGAATCCTGGTGACACTTTCAGCTATGATATGAGCAAAGTGACAACAGCTGAATTTGATGGAAAACACAAATTCTATATATGTTACAATATGTAAGGGAACAGCCAGTCAAGCAGTCACACAATCTGATGGCTAGAAGTCAGCAATAGAGGCAATGATTGGTTTAAAGCAGGGTGAGAGTCAGCTAATAATGCTCTACAAGCCACACAAGTCAGCGCAGGATGAGTTAGGGTAGCCTCCACCAGGCCTGCCTATGGGGGTATGGATGGTAGAATTTGGCAAAAAAAAGGGCAATATACTAGTACTAATAATTGTCAAGGAGAGTCAGACCTTGGGAAGGATACTTTCCCTCTCCAAAGCAGGCAAATGAACTATACGGTGGCTGAACTCCCCTGGCCAATTCTTCTCTCTACTTGGCTAAATTTTGCTGATTTGAACCTGTAATGATAAGTCTGGTGGAGACTACAGTTTAATAGGGCAAGGCAGGATCTATGTTACAAGCCAGTCTTCATGCTTACGACTGCTTTTCAGGACAAGGTGGCCCTTGAAAGGCGATGCCATGACACCTGGGGGGGCCGGGCTCCCTGGGGGGGCAGGAACCAGCAGACATGGTGAGATCATGGTACCAAACATAGGCACAGTTAGCACAACAACATGTCATCTCACTAAAGAGATACTGGACAATGTTGTAAATGATCAATGAGTGAATCCATTGCAAAACTCCTTCCCTGATCATTTTCATTAAATTTTACATTGCGCATATTGGCATAATTAGCACAACAACATGTCATCACACAACAACAAGCCAATAGCGATACTGGACAATGCTGTCAACGATTACAATGAGTGAATCAATTGTAAAAGTCTTCCGTTGCATCATCCTGACCATTTTATCAAATTTTGACATTGTGCATATTGACAGCACAGCAACATGTCATCACACAATGGAGATACTGAACAATGTTGTCGACGATCACAATGAGTGAATCCACAGCAACACCCTTCCTGTGCATCATCCTGATGTTAACTATTATAAGATTTTGATCCAGGTCAGATCTCTGTGAAAGAAAACCGGCTTTGACATGTTATGTTATACTACATGCATTTACATCGATGAAGGTTAGGCATCCAGGTAATACGATACGCCAAAAAACAGTTACTCAAGCAACTGGATATGATTTTGAAGACGTTTTCAAAATCATATCCAGTTGCTTGAGTAACTGTTTTTTGACTACATGCATTTGTTCAAACAAACACATATCTACAGCAAGTAAGCACGTATTCCTTGGAAATTGACAACAACAAACATTTAAGTTAACACACAGTTCTGACAGCTGACATATGGCGAAAATGAGACCCAACAAAGGTAAGTACTAGTATCTTGCCGTTGAGAAAACTGGGGGGCGCAGTGCATTGTACACTTTGAAGCTGATGCTTTTGACACATCAAGTTTCTATACTAAAAATTATTTTAGCTCTAGACTACACATAAGCAAATGGATTGTGCAACTCACCTCGACTCTTGGGCCTCCCCGCCATGCTTCTACCGTGCACTCAGAACTTGGGAGCATAAAATCTATACCTTCACAGAGCAATATTTTACAATCTAACGCAAAATTAGGCCGCTGAATCTGATTCTGCTTTTATGAATGTGACAAGCCGCCATTTTGACCAGAATATTCTCAATGATGGACGATTTCATTAGTTCATAGGGGTGACATATTTGGCGCAAACAAAAAAAGGTAGCTAAAATCTTAGTTCATGCATATTTTGGCATCTTAAACGTATAGAAAATGTATTATATTAAATTGTGAACATAGGGGATTCTAAACTTTATTCAGAGAATACGAAACACTCACAAACTAACGCCAGGGGTAAGAAAGTGGTACATTCCAAAAATGTTGTTTTGATCAGGTGACAGTAACACTGCCCTGTGATTGGTGTTGCTACCCAAGCCTACCCGGCACGGCCACGCCCACGCCCCCTGGCGACGGGAGGACACCTGTGCCGGGGTAGATGACCGCAAGGGCAAGTTGGGAGAGGCCACCAACAAACACACGGAGCGGGCTCGTAACTTTCTTTTGACGTGCTGTTATTTCGGCTCGATAGAAGTTTAACGATATCTTCATCGTCACCTTGAAACACCGAAACTACTGCTGCTAAGAGGTAAGCTACTGGTTAGTTACCGTTATGTGGTGACACCTGTCACTGACTGTGTGATTTAATATCAGACAAGTGGTAACGTTAACGTTAACCGTAGATAGTGAAGCGAATCGATGACACATGGCGACCCCACAACATGCCGCTAAATGTTAGACATGGTGTTCTAATGTTTCCCCTAACATGTTTGTAACACGTTTATGCACAACAGTTGTTAACGTTTAGATTATTTGTGAAAGTCTGTGCAATAACGGTACGTTACATATGGATACGATTGAATACCAGTATAGCACACAGTCTTTGTATGGTAGTAAAAAGATTGTAACAGCTTTGGTGACTACATGTAAATGGTAGCATTCAGTACAACGTCTTCGCTAAACTGTTGTCTTTAATATTTCATAGACTATTATGATAGTACCCCATGAAAGACTACCCTACTATTTTCTTTTTTTTTTTTGTCCATTATAAAGCGAGCAGGTTGAAAAGCATGGATAGGATTACCACTGCCCTGGTTTTATAATTTTTGACAACATAGATTCAACGGTCACGAATCTATTATTTGTTGAAGAAAATGCGTAAGAAAATTCTGCGTGGGTGTCTAAAGTTAACAGCTATTTTATAGATCGTACACACAATCTCTAATCATTGACTGGTGAAGGGACTTCATCTTTTTGACCTTTTGCTGTGTTGTGGGTTTTGGCGTGTCTTTGTTTGGTCTCTAATCGGCCCCCACTCCTGGGCAAACATGCTGTCATACCGGCTATAGGGGCGGTAACAATAGGACCAGCCACGCACAACACTTCACTTTTATCCAGCTCTAGTTCACATTCATGCTACAGAATAGTGCAGATATTTGTCAGTGTCACGTAACAAGGCAGGTTGACACTTATCCAAAGTGAAAAGGCCTTGGAGTCTGTGTAGCCAAGGGCAAGTCCACAACTTGAACTGACGTATTTGTCAATAAAGCGTGCAGTGGAATCTCAGGTACATAGTAGTTACTCTCCAAGCAGAGGTGAGAGGGAGAGAACGTAGGATATTCCGACATGGCTAGCTAAGGGAGGCAAAGAGGGAAATGTGCCTCCCTTAGCTAGCCATGTCGGAATATCCTACGTTCTCTCCCTCTCACCTCTGCTTGGAGAGTACATAGTAGTAACAGCAGGTTCACAGTAGTCAGTATAGTAATTGTAGCAAGATATCACTGGGAGTTTGCTTCTGCTTTATCTCCATGATATTGATCTATACTTGGTTTGTAAGAGAATAAGTGTACAATAAAGGTTCATACATTCATGTTAATAACTGGATAAACTTTCTTATCTTATCTCATGATAAACTTTGGGCAGGTGTTTTTAAAGCCCCATGATTTGAATTAACTGGATCTTGATAAGCCATAATCACTGACCCTGTGTCAGCTCATCCCAGCATTTTGTTTATTCTCTAGGCCTGGGCAAGACAACTTGAACTGACATACATGTATTTGGTAATGGCTGAACACACTTATGATAAAGTCATCCTATGATTTTAATTAAGCGGATATGGATATTAAGAAGCCACAAAAGCCAAGTCAGCCCATTCCAGCATTTCATTTTCTTCTGTAGGCCAAGACTAGATCTTAAAAATGAAGGGAAAAGTTGTAGCACTGCTGGTCTTCCTGAACCTGTGCTGGTTGCTGATTGGTGGAGGTGTGTTCAGTGCGCTGGAGTGGCAGAATGAGTCTGCCCAGAGGGTGAACTATGAAGACTACCGCAGCCGTCTGCTACGAAACTTCTCTTGTCTGACGGAAGAGGAGGTGGCCAATTTCATCACGGTGGGTGAAAAATACTACTGTATCTGCTTGGATATCTATTACCAATGTTAAAACATTCTCATGAAGGCTCATATGTGTTGGTAGTTACTGTAGATCCAACACAAAGAAGTTCTCTCACCAAGAGCTTTCACTCTGACAAGCCTCACTGGGTGTCTGGCAGCCCTATGTTTCTTCCAGTAATTGATCAAGTACTGTGGAAAGAAGAGAGGCGGTTAGGGGCAAATCCTGATGAAAATCATAGTCTCATGAGTTAGGGGATAGTCTTCATAAGCTATCTGTGTTCATCTGGTAACTTATACATTTGTATCTCTTAAGCAATGCTAAAAAATGTTTTCTTTTTAATCTTTAGGCAGTAGTGACGGCAACCAATGCAGGTCTGACTCTGGACAACTCCACTGCTGCTGACACCAGTAACTGGGACTTTGGGAACTCTTTTTTCTTCTCTTCAACAGTCGTCACAACAATAGGTACATGTAACATATGGTTGCACCTATTCATTACTAGTAATGTGTTGTACATTAACAGGTAGTTGGGTTATAGCAATTGTGATTGTTTATTTTGTAATTCATTATGTATGAACCCCCCTTTCACTGGACTGGAAGGAATGGTTTAGGCTGACTGGGCCATCCAGTATAAATAAAGCATTCAAATCAAATAACTGTAAATCTGATCTTATCTTACAGGTTATGGTCACATCTCCCCATCTACCCGTGGAGGCCAGGCTTTCCTGATCCCGTATGCTTTAATCGGCATCCCTCTGTGTGGTCTGATGTTGAACGGTATTGGAGAGAACATTGGGGGCTACGTCACAAAGAAGAAGGAACAGTGGGCTAAGGTGGGCTGTAACAGAACTACCAAGTAATTGATCAGGAATATCAAATACTGCAAAATGAACCTTATATTGTAAGTAGAAGCCTGTATACATGTATCACATACAACTGTCTAGTAGTAGTAGATATCACCTAGCCTGGACACCAGACCCCAGTGTGACACAATGCTCCCTTTGGCTGGGGGAAGTCACACACCCAGAAACTAATTGAGGTGGTCTATAGTAAAATTGACAGGTTGGCCCTGGCCCTAGTTGACAGGTTGGCCCTGGAACCAAGGAGCTAGTCTGTATACTGGCCCTGGCAACAGTCTGGCACCCAGGCTAGCTCTGGAGTCAAGGAGCTAGTCTGTATACTGGCCCTGGCAACAGTCTGGCACCCAGGCTAGCTCTGGAGTCAAGGATTCCGGAGCTAGTCTGTATACTGGCCCTGGCAACAGTCTGGCACCCAGGCTAGCTCTGGAGTCAAGGAGCTAGTCTGTATACTGGCCCTGGCAACAGTCTGGCACCCAGGCTAGCTCTGGAGTCAAGGAGCTAGTCTGTATACTGGCCCAGGCAACAGTCTGGCACCCAGGCTAGCCTGAATACTTGCCTTGGCAACAGTCTGGTACCGTCTAGCTCTGGAGCCAAGGAGCTAGCCTGTACACTATGCCTGGCAATAGTCTGGCACCCAGGCTAGCTGCATCACTGCACATTTAAAATTTCATTAGGAACTTTCCGTCCTCTGTTATATCCAGAAACGCTGGTCCAAGAAAGTAAGCGAGAGGACGGCTGAAGTGCTGGTGATGCTGATCCTCTTCCTCATGTTCCTGGTGTTCCTGGTCTTCATCCCTTCTGCCATCTTCCTGGCCCTGGAGGGCTGGTCCTACCGCATCAGCATCTACTACTCGTTTGTCACCCTCACCACCATCGGGTTTGGCGACTATGTACCAGGTGAGGTACAAAATAGAGTGGATCATAGAAACTAATGAATTTAGTGACAAAATTTTCATTGTAACTCGTAGTGATATGGTTCGTTTTTTAGAAAACCCTCACTCTAACAACAATCCACACATATGAACATACAATGTACTAGAATGTACCAATGAAACCAGTAGCCACGTTTTTGTACTACTTACTTCATGTATTATTGTACATTATCATATAGCCAGGTGACGTTGACCAATCAGAAGGCTCCATTCCACATTCCTTATGTCGCCGTAATGTCACAAATAGAGACAAGATCGGGTATTTATTCATCCCAATCCATACATTAAACAAAATGGATAATCACCCGCATATGACCTCAGGTGACCCAATAGAACACGGCTCTAGTTCTAAAAAATCCAAAAATAACTTAAGTTGTGTTCTAATGACCTCGGGTGACTCCCATAAGAACACCTGTTCCCTGCCTGTGACCCAGTTAACGTGAACTCTACCCAGTGACCTCAGGTGACTCCATATGGAACTATGTTCTATGTTCTATTCAGCATGTGCAACGGGTAAATTGTACATTGTGTCACTTACTTCATCAGTTTGGATAGGCTATCGTGTAAGCTATATGATAATAGCGTTAATGTCCCGCCCTTTCTCGGTGAATATGGTGTGATAAAGCCTTGTCAGTTGCTATAACCACATCATAAAGCCACCTCGTTCGCTGCGCTCACTTGGTGGCTTTATTCTGTGGTTATAGCAACTGACAAGGCTTTATCACACCATATTCACCTCGGGGCGGGTCATTAACCCTTAAATGATGTCTGCTTGTCACAACTTTGCCATCTTAAAACATACTGTATGTTTTTTTTATTTTTATTTATTTATTTATTAATCTTGAGGGTCGCCCCTTCAATTGATAAACAACTGATTTCCAAGGGGGCCCTGGCTCCACATCCAACAGATGAATCAACAAAACGTTACAATTGTACAACATAAAACACAAAATGTTACAGGTCAAAACTCTGACCAGCGTGTGGTGTACCGCCTGGCCATTCTCTGCTGGTTCATGATCGGTCTTGCATGGATGGCCGTCATCCTGAACCAAGTCTCCACCTTCCTGACCGAAGTCGGCGTGAAGGCACAGACTGCACGAGACGAGAGGAGGAAGAAGAAGGATGGAGACACGGGGGAGGGGGAGGACAACAAGGCCGCAGAGGATGTGGAAAACTCGGAATCAACAAAATCAGTGAAACAGTCAAATGTTGAGCTTAGAAGTATGACTCCAATAGAATCATGAAATGCCAACATGGCAACAGAGATTGTGTTAGGGGACGGGAGAATGCAACATGACCATGGAAAATGCTAGAAGAGCTGACTTTTGCAAACATCTTAACTTTGAATGTGGCACGTAAAATATAATGTCTGGAGAGACAGACAATATTGTTAAAGATAGAAGATATTTCAGAATGAAAGACTATTCAAAAAGAATATACAACAAACATGGATTGTTACAGTCCTTTTTAATAAAAAGAAATATCATTAGAACACTATTTTTTAATCATAGAAAATTCATATGATGTGAGAATATCTAATGAATTTAATTATGATAGATGGTTATTGTGTAATCTTGACAGACATCACCCCTCACAGCACTTAGTTAACCTGAAAACAATAGCCTTAAGGTACAAAAGTTTTCTTGTGTACTTTATAGGCTGTACTATGTCACTACAGCGGCTGTAGTGACATTTAGACATGTCTTAAGCAATAGTTTTAGTTTGATAAAATTGTGGACATTGGTCTTTGATTAAGACCACAATGGCATAGTCATATTTTGTCGTAAAATAAAGAATAAAATATCAGTCAAAATCTTCCACTGTTTTTGCACCTGTTATTTCGGTTTCTTAAGTTTCTTGCTTTTTGCTTTTCTCTTGGTCTTGTCTGTGACCTTGCCTTCCTGAACCACAGACATCTTTCCCCACAATTCATCTTCATCCTCTTCTGTCATGTCACTGGATTCCAGCTTTCTCTTCTGTTTCTTTGGAGCCTCTGTCTGTTCCTGAGTTAAAGGTGAAAATTATCACACAATGTGTAAATCATATTACTCAAGCATGCAGCCCAATTTACATTTCAACTTGATTCCTTTCCTTTAAAAACATGGAGCGAATTTGTTTCTATTGAGCCAATTTGTTTCTATATTCCTTCTAACGATAATACTGAACTGGGATAGCATCTGCTTCATTACAATATGTAAAATAGATCTAGAACCAGGTGTATTCAAGCTCTATGTAAGATCTCTTAAGAATTATTCACCTTATCACTTGGTAGAGGGACGAAATGTATACAGTGGGGAAATGGACAGGTAACTACACTTTACAAACATGGGATGACTCCCAGTACAGACCAGACTATTCAATATACACCACTGTCTAGTTTGTCATTAATAAGAGAAGACACTGAAAGATCCATGTACAATGCCGTACCTGTGTGAAGTCTGCACTACTGAAGAGTAGGCAGTTCAACCTGGACTTCAGGTAAACCTGAGGTAAGAAACAATGACATATTTTACAAACTTACAGGTAGTTATTTAGATATCCATAGCAAAACTATACTACAATATTTGATCAAAAATGTTTCTAACATACCAGAAAATACAGACAAAAAAGTGCCACATCTTTATCAGGCTTCTAAAACTCTAGAGCAATTTCCTCTAACACTGATGAACTAGGACATTGGGGTTTTCTTTTACACAACTAATATTGTCTCTTGCCTTGCTCACGTTTCTGATAGACACCAAAACGTAAGCAAGGTAAAGACACAATACTGGTTGTGCAAAAGAAAATCCCTATACTCTAATAACCTGATGAAACTACTAGTATTTTTGGAAACTTTTTAACTAGTCTGTGTTACTATTCATACGCTCTCATTGGATAAGCCTTAATGACGTTATACACAACACCATATATAAGGCAGGGCGAAACACCCCTGTGGCACATTCAGTGGAGACATCCATAACGCAAAGGAGCACAATGTGGGTCGGTCCTTGTACACACGTAACCAGGGGTAGGGGAGAACAAGCGCAAAAAGAAGCGTACTCGCTCCCACAGGTAAGAAAGGCTAGTGTTTTTTCCCCACCCACCCCACCCTTTCAACCCAAGAAGAAAGGAGTGACATACAGGGACAGAACCTGCCGCGCGACTTCGGCACTGCCCCATAACTCATAAAGGATGATCCAATGATTGCGCAGTTTGAATAGGAGACTTCTCTGACCTTATGCAGCGTCTCCTTGGTGTTGATGTCATGTATCCTGAGGAAGCGGTCCAGCCCACACGAGGCTACCAGGGGGAGGGAGGGGTGGCACTGCAGACAGCGGATGGCTCCTGCAAAACCCTTGAACGCCTTCTGCACTTTACCTGTGAGGATGTAAGTTTGTGTACAGGGCCGTGAAACTCTGGAATTCTCTACCTACAGATGTAAAGTCCATCTCCCATGTCAAATACTTTACCAACAGAGTGGTGCAATTCATAAAAGTCAGACAGCTATCTTCAAGGTAGAATTCATATGTTTTCTTAATGATTGCCATGTAAATAGTTAAAGTTTTTTATGCGACATGTAATCCCCTCTGTTTTTAAATGATTTATGCTGTATGTTAAGTGTAAATATGTAGGATTGTGTCTGTAATTGTGATGTTACATGTATTTGTATTGGAACCCTGGAAGAATAGCCCATAATGGGCTAAAGGGTATCTCAATAAACTGAAACTGAAACTGATGTCATGCAGGACTTGCATCAATAAGAATCCTATCAGTATCACATTGCTAAACTAGTACATGTACATTCAAATATCTAGAGCAATCATTGCTCTGTCAATGTTCACCTTTTCTTCCACTACCTTATTTCATCAACCAAAGCGCTGAACTTTACCAACACTTGTGAAACACACTTCTAAAATACATCCTTAAAAATCTGAGATACACATTTAGATATCATATTGAATTTTTTGTTGTTTTCGTTTAAAATGTTTATTGTACAAGTAGGACAGCAATTCCATAAAGGAAGCAATTACAAGCTAGAAAGGCTTCAGTTTTCAGTTCCTTTCCAGGTTCCTCTTTACATAAATTCTTGTGGTGTAATCAGCAAACTCACCCATTCTCAGGTCCACCATGACCATACTTCCCTGGCTGTCTCCCACAATAACTGAACTGCAGGGCAAAAAACAACAATAAACGTTTTCACATGATACATCACACACTAAGAAGTTCCAATCCATATCTAACACCAGATCAGTATTGGCAAAAAATTAAACTTTCAACACAGTCATTACAGGAAGAAAGTTCAACTGTTCTCCATTTCAAAAATGAAATTAACTCACCGGAAATTTTCAACTGAATCGCTGTCTTCAACATCTTTATGACCCGTGTGCTGTGGACACGTGACTTTTAGCCACATGTGACATCAGCACAATTTTCTGGTGAGTTAATTTCATTTTTGAGTTGGACAACAGTTTAACTTTCGTCATGTATTTTACCAACTCAGATGAACTTTCATGACAGCCATTACATATACCATTGCAAGAACAAACAGTGAGTGTGAGTGATTGAGTGTGAAGAAAAACTTTCCAGTGTTTCCTCTTACCGGCAGTCCGGAGTGACAGACAAGGCTGTGAGAGGGTACTCCCCGAGCTCCACGTTCAGTACAGGTCTGCGCTGGGGACCGGCAGGGTCATACACTCGTACCTGCAGCCGGGAAATAGAGTTCTGTATCTGTATCTGTATAGCCCTTATAACTGCCCTTTGGCATGGCACACCAGCTTCTGTATCCTTCTGTTAACCTCGAATATGCCAATATGATCCTACATGAGATGTTCTGCCTAAGTGCTATGCACAATACATTACGGGATTCCCGCAGGTGAAATACGTTCTGCCGACATGCTACTCACCTGCCTGTGACCTGAGCAGGTGACGAGTTTCTGTTCTGACAGAAACTGGAGGTCAGTGACCCACACAGGAACTCTCAAGTCCAGGAAGTCATTTCGCACCTGTGAAAGAAAGTTGAAAGTCAGCATCAAGAAAACCTCTCCAAATTCTGAATCCTACTTTTTGGAAAATAAAATTCATCACCTATTGTAACATTGCTAATTGCCCCTCTGAAAGATGAATAACGTTTACTATTTTATCTAGATCAAGAGAATTGGTCGAGAATTGTTGACATGGTCGGTCCAATTAAGAAGGATATGGGTCTACAAGGTGATTGCTCTGTCATGCACAACAGGAACATTTGCAGACAGTACAGTATGGTGTCAACTCACTGAGGTGAACTGAAGACAATCAAAAAGCTTAACCAATGCCATTGCATCACGGTAATCAATGCCCAGAAAAAAATCAGTGCTCTCAATTGCTTGTATATCTTCATTCCATGCAGTAACTGTGTAGAAATGACAGTCTTACTACATAACACTTGATAACGTTAGCTTTAATTGATGCCCCATTTGTGAAAGTCTGTTTAATTACAGTGTGTTACATATTATAGACAGCACTGGAAAGTTGCCTTGTATGGTAAACACAATCTTCAGCTCAATGGCAGATATTAGTATATATATACTGTTTGTGCCAAACCAGCATAGTTCTACTGTTCTACATACATTTTTGGCCTTGAAGATGGGTTTTCCTGGCTCCTGGATGTCCCAGAGCTTCAGCTCGTTCTCCTTCCCTCCGGTGGCCAGCTGGTGAGGCAGGGCAGGGTTCTGTCTCATCCTACAAACGTCCTTCCCTACCTCCACATCAACCTGAAGACAAGTCACAAGGTTTGTAACTGTTTATATCAAACACCAAATCTTCAGATCTTATATGTGGTCTCCATATAGAAAAGTATTTTGAAGAGTGGCTACTTGGTATACTTTCCAAGCAAAGCCTCTTCTTGTGTGTTCAACACAATGTTTGTGACTGTTTATGTAAACACAAAACCTTCAGGTCTTATCTTAGTGATATTACATGTACCTTACAAATATATCGCATACTCTATACTTTAATAAAAATGGTACAGGCAATAGTCCATCTAGAACATACATATTACTGACCTTGTCTCCTTCATCCTTCCATACCCTGAGCAATCCTGACTCCACACACGTAACAAGAGATCTGGAAAAAAAAGTGTGAACTGTAAGATAACTTCTTGAGGTGTATCATACATTGGTATATACTACTATACATACACTGTATGTACAGTTGTATACCAATCCATATTTCATCGCAAAACATGTCTTTGTAGTAAATGTTTTCACATCCGGGCATGTATTATATAATAGAATAGATAAGAAACAATCACAAGTGTTTCAAATGACCCACAATATTGTCCGACTCACTCCTGGTATTTTGCCAGTCCTGTGAACCTGCCCTCCCCTCCTGCACAGTTGGTACAGTCCGTGAATTCCCCCTGCTCTGCATCAAAGGTCTTGACAAGTCCATTCTTCAGACCTATACAAACCTGTACAAGAGAAAACCAAACTTACATCGTAAAACATTCAGAGACAAGTTACAGAAATAGTTTCTACAGCTTCTGGAGAGATATTCTACATGGAATTGCATGACCCATCTACTGTGAGCACTACCATCAAACTTGTGTAAAGAGACTGTGTCAAATACTTGCAAATTATGTAGCTTCTTCACCTCTGAGTTGTACACGTTTTATCATTGGCATTTTTCATCAAGCATAAAATAAAGTTTCAAGTAGCATATCGAGTACTTTTTGTCAGTCACTGACGAAAGGTTGTAGATGCTACTGTACTTGAAATGTCTGACAGTTTTCAAAATCTATCCAGTTGCTTGAGTAACTGTTTTCTTGTGCAGCTTGTCACTATATAGTATGTCCTAATCTCCAAGCAGATCTTTTGGTGGGGGTAAGACAGTATCAAATTGGCCAGTCTGTATCCATTTCCCCACCCAAGAAATGGATACAGACTGGCCAATTTGATACTGTCTTACCCCCACCAAAAGATCTGCTTGGAGATTAACTATGTCCTACCTGGCTCTCCTGCTGGTTTCCCCAGCACATGGCACAAATCTCGTCCTCCTTCGACAGGCTGGCAACATTCTGGAAATTTGTTGCTGTCTTCTTAGCAAGGTTTACTCCTAACAAACACAAACACATAAATTGCCATGATGTTTCTTTTTTAAGAAAAGCTTCAAGCATGGAGTTAGGAGATCAGTGTCTTTTACCTCCATGCTTCAAGTGACCAAAATATGCACTACCAGTTACATCTACTTGCCCCTGAAATATGTGATCATTTCCATGTGTATTTATGTCTTATTAAAGAAAACACATATGCAACAACTTTTGCTGACCTTCTTGGCTGGCAGTTACGCTTTGGCAACCGAAAGATTTGGTTTCGAAAAATTTAGACATCAGTACAGGCAAACCTGCCTTGCCCCCCTCCCCACTTGGCAAAGACTCCTGTGCGTTGCTGTATACTTAAATATGAAGAGCAACCTTTATGTCAGTACATCTATACAAACCCGATATCGGTGAAAATACTTTACACTAGTCGCTGTTGCCCCAGGTCGACATACGAACCTTTAAAAACGCCTGTCGCGGCACCAACGAACACATGCTGCATGGAGGCAGCCATCTTTCTCACCCACTGGATTCTGGGAAGGTTTCGGGAAGTGACTTCGGAGCCTTTCAGCAAGTTTCACTCATCGACACGTGGATGGATCGTAGGTTCCACGTGTGAGGAAGATACCTCGGTATGTACGGGAAACCAGATCCTTGTCACAAGTTGTATGTACATGAAAACGAAAACATGAAATGTATAATGATCTTAATCCGTGAACTACGCCCTCGTGCAGAAGTACTATAAATTACAGGTCGTTCATACGGTAGTCAAACGTCAAAGTTTATTGAAACCTTCCAAGCTTTATCCAACAAAGTTATCGACCGGCCACTTCCAATCATTAAACTTGAAAAATCAGGACAAGGGGAAGGAAATTTACTCTCGGAACAGAAGTGGGTAACACAAACTGCTTATTCAGCATCTTGTTCTGTCCTTTCAATTGCTATTAGGCCATGTTGATTTGATTATGTGGATGACATCCTCCCAAAACCCCAAAACTGATGCGCGCGTGCGAAAAAAAAAGTTTTGCAAAAAAAAAAAAAGTTCTTTTCATTATGAAATCTACGTGGTCATGAGGGTTGAGCAAATGGCACAGAATATGGTTTGGCGAATAATCTAGTCTTCAAGTTCATTTCTTTACAATTTCGTCTTTTTACGTTTGATTTTGGCATTTTACGACATTGGTATAGTTTTTGTTAATTTTTTTTGTAACTTATGGTATATTTTTGCTCATTTTGCAACTGTTTTGTACGATTTACAGTTTACTGTATGATTGAAAACTTTTTTTTTTTGGAAACGGCCGAAAATTCATGCGCGCGCGGATGTCATCCATATAATCAAATCAACATGGCCTTATCAAGGTCAAGTTACTAACTGTTACAAGTATTTAACCTCCTTGCTATTATAAATACCATTAGGAGGTTGACTAGGTATGCATTGAATCTCCTTGCTTATATGCATATGTAATACAAAAAAGTAAACAAAGAAAATTTTTAAACAGAACTTTAATTCATATTTGTATAATAATAATCCTGTCATATTTAATACTGTGCACAAGACAACAAATGTTTTAACCAGAAGAAAATGGAAATTGTCAAGATTGCAACTTGAACCAGCTTAGTAATGCTATGCAGTGCATGTGCTTGAAACAACACAGCAGACAGTGTAGAAACTTTGATTAAAGTGACGTCACTTTGTGTGTTTTCCCTTCCACTTTTATAAATTCACCAGCTACACCTACACGAGGCAACTGTATAGAAATGGGACATATCTGTGTTGAAATTAACCACAGTCTGTGGCATCCATACTAATAGTTTTTACTACTAAGGCCATGTTGATTTGATTATATGGATGACATCCTCCGGGAACCCCAAAATTGATGCGCGCGTGCGAATAAAAAAAAAGTTTTGTAAAAAAAAAAAAAAGTTGTTTTCATTATGAAATCTAAGTGGTCATGAGGGTTGAACAAATGGGACAGAATATGGTTTGGCGAATAATCTAGTCTTCAAGTTCATTTCTTTACAATTTCGTCTTTTTTCGTTTGATTTTGGCATTCTACGACATTGGTATGGTTTTTTTGTAACTTACGCTATATTTTTGCTCATTTTGCAACTGTTTTGTACGATTTACAGTATGGTTGAAAACTTTTTTTTTTCTTAAACGGCTGAAAATTCATGCGCGCGTGGATGTCATCCATATAATCAAATCAACATGGCCTAATATGTGTGCCTGAATCTGATGTTGAACTGGTGCAGGCACTTGAGCCACTGTTTCCAGTCATTGCTTAATTGGAAGCCATACTAAAAGTTACATGTGCCTAAATATCATGTTGAATTGGTGCAGGCCTTTGAGCCACTGTGTCCAGTATACATACTAACAGTTCAGGTCCATACTAAGGCCACACCAATTTAATTTCTTGGTTAACGGATTCGCCGCTTCATTTTTTTCTGATTTGCAAATAAAAATAAAAATCCAGAACCAACTGCAAAATGCTCATTTTTTGCCCTGAACAGTTGAAAACAGTCCTTTTCATACTAGTTGTTACAGTTATTACATATTTCAATGCAATGGTATCATTAAAAGTTCAAAACTCATTGTTTAAATTGAACCAGCCTGGTGTGTTGACTTCATGGCTCCTATCGTACCATTTTGGGCCATAATTCGATGCCTAGGCCTGTTTTTATTTTTTTTATTTTTTTCGCCCGCCCGCTCCATTATTTTTCTAGAAATATCCGTTAACCAAGAAATTAAATTGGTGTGGCCTAACAGTTACATATATGTGTGTCTGAATGTCATGTTGAACTGTTGCAGGCATTTGAGCCACAATTTCCAGCCTTTGGGAGCCATGCTAGCAGTTATGTGAGTCTCACATTAAACTTGTGCAAGGGTTTCAGTCACTGTGCCCAGTATGTACTGTGGCATCCATACTAAACTGTTATGTGTGCCTGAATCTTATATTGTCAACAGGTGCAGGCGTTTGAGCCACAATTTCCAGCCTTTGGGAGCCATACTAAAAGTTAAAGCTAAAGCCTAAATCTCATGTTGAACAGGTGCAAGCGTTTGAGCCACTGTGTCCAGTCTGTAACAGTTATGTGTGCCTAAACCTCATATTGAACTGGTGCAAGGGTTTCAGTATGTACTGTGGCATCCATACTAAACAGTTATGTGTGCCTGAATCTGGCGTTGAACTGGTGCAGGCGTTTAAGCCACTGTTTCCAGTAGTGCTCGGTGAGAGCAGGGGGCAACAGGTGGGCGTGACCTTTGTCCCCGTTGCCGTAGGCGATCACCAGCAGGGCCTTCTCCACCTGGGAGGGGGGGGGGGGCAGAAATTAACCTTTAATCTGCTGTGGGTGACACAATAACTATGTTGAGATGCTACTAGTACAACAGTTATGAATCAATTCAATTCATCACTGTACATAAGGGCCACCACTTTTGGGTCTTCCCCATCTTGCCAATTGACACAAGCAATAAGAATCTAGTCTATTGTGACCAACTGTCCATATTGACCAGATGGTTGGTCTATATGGTCAGTGGTCTTCTTGGACAGTGTTGACTGTATCTTCAAGTTGGTTAATTTTCATTGCAAGAAAAGAACACAAACCAAGTTAGAAAGGCATTTCAACTTCTTTTGATTTTCCAGTTAGCTAGGCTTTTCAAGTGCTTTTCAACACCACTTCTAGTTTATCCCTGAGTACATGCGTCCGACGTTGTGCCCTTGGGAAAGGCACTTTACATGAATTTCCTCACTCCACCCAGGTGTGAATGGGTATCTAACTTCGGTTGGGGAAAGTCGTATTGAGGTCACCTTGTGGCGCCGAATGGCTGCCGCACAGACCCTTGCGACAGTTCCACAATAATTTGTGGAACAAATATGTGTATCATGTGTGTATTATTATTTGATTGTTGTGATTTGCATTGATTATTATGTGATACCCTGCATCAATTCAGCCGTATAAAGGCTGCGACTGCACGGGTACTGTTTGGACAATAAAAACCATTTATTATTAATTATTATTATTACATAACTTTTCCACCTACCTGAAAACTGTAATTGTCGTCATAGTTGAGAGCACCCATGTAGGCTGTCGCCTGTAGAGGAATGTCATAGCACTGCTTCAGGGTCGGCTTCAGTCGCTTGGAGGTTTTCCAGTCAACTAGGCACCACTGGCCCCTACAGGAAAGAGACCACCAGTTTCAAAAGAAATTGCATTCCAGTAACTGCAGATTACCTGGGGTAGGTTTCAAATCTTCCATACTATTGACTGCACAATGATTTCTTAAAAGTACTATCACATTTTGCAGCTATCTGAATTGTTTCACTCACTCACTCACTCACTCACTCACTCACTCACTCACTCACTCACTCACTCACTCACTCACTCACTCACTCACTCACTCACTCACTCACTCACTCACTCACTCACAAATTGATAAAAAAGATTTCTGCAGGACAACTGTTAGAAAGTCTACAACACAACCATCACCAGTAGCCCATTGGCATTGGTTACTGAACCAATTCAGAGCACTATCTCACCTGTACTTGGCAACACAGTCCAGAATGCCTCCATACTGAAGCTCCGGGTGTTTCACAACACTCTCTACAGCGCAGACGTCAGAGATGTCAGCTAGCACATGCTGGATGCTGGCCCAGTGGCCCCGGGTCTCCTCAGGGATGGTTAAGTCTCCCTCAGGTGTTCCAGTCAGAAGGGCATCGATGGCTGTGTGGATGGCCTGGCCCTCCCTAAAGGTGTCTACAGGGTACCAAATAAAACAATAACACAAATGTAGCTAAAAATAACTGGTTGAGGGACTATGGTACCATAACAGTTCAGAAGTATTTCTTCTGTGTCATGGAATGTTCACAAGTTTTTTATGTTATGGTCAATGTACATGTAACAGATTGTCTCTCTTGGGCCTTTCCACAATCTTTTTTTGGAAATGAATGTTGGCACACATATGAACAGTTCCTATATACTCAGAAGTGTTACTTGTGACCTAGAATTGCGGAGAGGATGTAGGACTCGGGAGCTATAATAGGTTTGGTAACCAGGCTACTTGTGACCCACATGAGACAGGGAACAGCAGATGATGATCTGGAGAATGAGTAAATGATATCTGACCTTCCTGCAGCTTCTTGAAGCCTTCTTCCCCCAGCTCGCTGATCATTCGTGCCTTCCATCTCTCCAGAACAAGCACACTCTCGGGAGGCATTGTCTTCCTCAGTATGGACCCCACACTGGGCATGCCCAGGTCAGGGACGCTGTTTCCGGTCTCCACGTCTGTCCGTCTCTCTGGCTTGACTGTCATGGGAGTCTCCTGTACAGGAGGCTCCGGGCGGGGTAGAGTACTTGTCATGGGGTACTGTGGAAAGGATACCGCTGCAGTGTTTCGTACAGACAAGGTGCGGTTAGGAGGCATCTTTCTTGAGTCAGCACATTCTGGAGAGCTATAATCATTCTGTTCATCACTGCTGTTAACTTCTGAAGAAGTTTTCAACACATTATCAACTACTGCAGCTTTTTTCTGCTTCCTCAGTGCCCTTTGTGATCTGTTGGTCTTTTGCTTCATAGCAAGCAAATACTGTAAGTCAGGAGGCAGGCCCAGGTTAGCAGGTGGTACTTCTGTCATGTCATCGTCAACAGCAGAGGCTGAGTCTTTGCCTTCTTCTGTACCACCATTGTGTTTTGTTTGCTGGGTTTTCTTTTGCCTCCTTTTGTTGGGCACGACTGGTCCGAACACGGCGTCCAGGATAATCTTTTCTCGCTGCATGTCCGAGACTGTCCCATCCTGCTCACCAGGGACTGTTTTAGTGTTCGTACATTGCTGCGTGTGGAAGGCAGAGCTTCTTGACTTTTCGACGATGTTGCAAACGGGAAGTATCAATGCACACCTGGCAGGTCTTTGCAGACACTGCACTACAGTCTTGGATGTCCAGGAGAACATGGTGAATGTTACCGGTAGCTTAGAACTAGTGCCGGCAGCAATCCACAGATAATCACCTGTAATAGAAATCATTATAGTCATTCATCTTTAAGAAACATAAAGGTTTTTGACGTTTGGTAAAAGGTAGCAGTGTCATTAATTCATAATTTGTAAGTATGATCTGTATCTGTATTACCGGTATAACCGCAATCTATGCAAGGAGGATATCCCCGTAACTTCCTTAATCTACATGTAAGGCCGCTGAGAACTAGAAATCGGTATTAAACGTTCATGGTAGCAAGGACATAATTTTCTATAACGTTACTAGCCGCCAAATAATTTGGCTCATTTATGAATCTATAATGCCCTTGATGGTAGGCAATCCATATAAAGTATAAACCCAAGGGTGCCTTACCTTCTAGAGTAGAGTAGAGTAGAGTAGATCTTTCGTCTTGGTAGGAAGTTATTCTGGTACTATCCCAGTTGTCCAGACGTCTCTCTGCACTTACAGTATCAGATTCACAGTCCTTTAGCCCCCAAAACGGGCACTAAATCGACAAATTGATTTACAGCAGCAGAAAACTAGATCAACTTCTTCCCGCCACTGGAGGTCAAAGTACATTAGGTCAACGTTCCCACCATGCACCTGGGGCCGCGGGGTCACCGACGGAAAAAAAAAGACTCGAAACAGAAAACGTGAACCTGAATCACAAGCTTGGTTTTCTGAGGTTTGTTCTGCAGGACTGGAGGGCTCTGTCAGCTCAGAAGCGACCGAAATGGCAGAGGCAGACGCCGAGGGAGTCGAAGTGATCGAACTGAACCGAGGGGAGGCAGGTAAGAGTAAGTAAAGACCACCGTCCGTCGACGTCTGCATGCGGAACTCATATGACTGGCCGGCCATGTCATCAGATATAGTATCGGCACGTCTATGTCCCTAGGGATCCGGATAATTTGCACGAGATCTTATACCTCTTTATTCTATCAAGGACATTCTATGTATTTGCGTCCTGGACGTTGATACGGTTGCAAAACTATTTGTGCCCGATATTAATATGCATAACGTTATGTTATAACGTTATATAATTTGTTGACGTCGCTCAAATAGTCGATGGTGCTTAATTTGGGTTTAGAAAAGAGAACCTCCTTGCGTTAACATACTGACACGTACTAATAGTTAAGTGAATAAAAAAGACAAAAGAGGTAACATTATGCAACAATAAATATACAACAAATAAATAAACAACAACAATATTAACTTGTTATATCATTGCAATAAGAATTCTTTTCTCACTATTGACAGGCTAATAAGAAATTTTTACTGTCAATATGATTTTTTGACAGGAAAAAAATTGTATGATCAGACACTGAGAACTATATCACTACATAAAAACAATGAACAACCCCACCAACCTAAATACACCAAAACATGTATATATGATAGAATAGAGTATAGAGGTCAGGGTTCTAGCTAGGATGTAATTTTAGCGTAGTGGCACTGGCCGCCTGTCGATGGGCCCTTTTAAAAATCTGAGCTAAAAAAGGGGCCATTTGAGGGATACCCAAAGGGAAAATATGTTATTTCTAAGGTATGTACAATGTATCCTTGATTGGTAATTTTCCACATTTGATCTGGCATTCTTGAACAAAGAAATACAGTCACAATGCCCCTAGGCTGTATGTGTAGGGAGGAAATTTAACGTAGGGGGTCAAAATTTTAGCGTAGGGGGAAATTTAGCGTAGGGGGTCAAAATTTTAGCGTACGGGGGAAATTTAGCGTAGAGGGTCAAAATTTTAGCATAGGGGGCCCCTACACTACCTTGTGGTAGCTAGAACCCTGGAGGTGGTATTGCTATTGTCTGCTGTTAATGCTGTTCTTCTGTTCCGTCCTGCAGGTTTGGGGTTTAACATCAGGGGAGGTGTGGACATGCCCCACGTGGAGGGAGACCCCGGAATCTTCATCACCAAGATACGGGATGGCGGGGCCGCCGCGCTGGACGGGAGGCTACAGGAGGGGGATAAAGTATTAGAGGTGAAAGCAGCATGTTAGTTACCAAACCTATTATAGCTCCCAAGTCTCCGCAAATAGGATGTAGGACTCGGGAGCTATAATAGGTTTGGTAACCAGGTTAGGATGTCAGCAGAACGTGCACGAAACCTGTAATGTGTTGAGCATTGCACTTCAGCAGTATGTCTCATATAAGGTCATATATAATTGCGTATTACAAGATTATCACTCCGTCTGTAGTTTCCAAATGTCATACCAGAAAAAATATCCTCAGCAACAGGCAAAATTCTAATGCAACGTTGACCAAAAACCCAATGTAAATTGCAAAAAAATACATTACAGGTTTCGTGCAAGTGCAGTACGACATGCTATCAAACTGTTAACTGTCCTGTGTTAGCTTCTACCAGGTTTCAGACAAGGCTGGAAAGAGTAGAAACTGGCCAAGTAGACAGATAACATTTCAGGGGAGTTAGTCTCAGGGCGGCAAACTATACTTCTGTAGTGGACTGACTCCCTTGGCATGTTATCTGTCTATTTCTGTATCTGTATAGCCGGTATAACTGCCCTTCTGCAAAGCATACCAGCTGGCCAGCTTCTACTATTTCTAGCTCTCTCTGAAGCCTGGTGGAGGCTAATTCTGTGTTGTAAACTAGATAATAATAATACCTCTCATTTCATTGCATTCATCTATCCCGTGTCACTGTCAGTGTTCTCTTTGCAAACTTGAAATTACTATTACCGGTAGCCTGTTCTCTTTCTGCAGCTTTACCCTCTTCCAGCTCTTTGTCTTGTTGTTGACACACGGACTGTGACTGTGTCGTTATGTAGCCTTCATCCTGTCCTGCCTACAAGGTGTGCTTCCTGCATAATTTCCTTGAGTGTTATAGAATTTCTATACTTATCCATTGCTGTCCTCCTTTGACCTCTTCATACCATAAACCAACGCAGTTTATGTTGCACGGTGTGAGAACTTCGTACCTTTGCACTTCATGCTTCTTACTTTTGTAAACAATCATAAACATGCCTGTGCACATAAGACAAATTATTGTTTAAGAATGCTTCATACATGTTGTGTAGTAACGGATTCGGAATTGAGTGATAGTCATTGTACATGTAGGTAAAGATATCATGATCATTGCTCAGTGGTATTTTGACAGGCAGTAGTGTCTTTTAAGCTATAAAGCTCTTCTTGCATACTGCTTAGCCCCATTTCTGAGTTTATTAGCAGTGGCTTTGTTACTTATTTTTACCTAACCTGTTGGTTAATATCATCCCCCAGATCAATGGGACATGTATAGAGTCTGTGAACCACCAGGACGCAGTGCGGCTGTTCTTAGAGTCAGGAGACACCGTCAGGTTAAAGGTTCTTCCCGGGGCAGAGAGAGCTATACTGGTGAGTCAGCAATATTTTATTACAGAATATAACACTTCTGAGTGAGGTACAAATTGTCTTCTTACAACAAGTCCTTTATTTTGCTCATGTCATACATTTCCTTCCCCCTCAAACAATTGTTATCATTGAATAAATTTAAACTATTCTCAGCAATTATTGATGTTTATTTCAATTGTTCTTTTGTCTCTTTATTGTAGAACACTGTGTTCTGACGTCATGTTATAGGACAAGGAATGCATACTCATACTGAGAGGAATCACACTTGCACAAAATGCTTGACCATGAAGAGGCCTGTTTTGCCCTTGCTGGAGTTGATTAGACATATACTACATAGTAGTAAGACTTTTGTTTATTTGTTTACTTGTTTCCTCCAAGTCTTGTAGCTTTTATGCAGCTAGACATTGGTTCATGAGTACTGTATATGTATCCCCTACAGGAGCGAGATGGCAGCATCATCAGGACAGGGAAGGGTTCCGGCACCTCCCAGGTGCTGTGGTGGCTGGGAGGAGCAGCTGTCACTGTCGTAGCCTTGTACACATTATACAGGTTTAGGTTGAGACACTGACAGAGGAACTAGTAACCCTGTAAATCTGACTGGATTTAAGATTGTATTGGTTTTTACAAGTCAAGTGTTTGCACTAATAATAATAATAACTGTTCTTGGCTGTAAATTAGCAGTAGAAAACTCTAAACTACAATTGACAGACCAAATCAGTGTATGTCTCTGTACATTTCAGTCCATCTTGAGTTCGTTTGTCTCTTACTAAGTCTCTGAGATATTTCAGTACGTGAGACTCAAGTTTGATGTTGTAATTAAGATAAAGTTTATGGTCGTCGACAAAGCTACTAAGGAGACCTTCACACACTAAACTAAACAGGATACTAGTACACAACAGCCAATTGTTATGTGTCTGCAGTACTTTGTAAAACAGAATGCAGACCCTTCTGTTGTTTGCACATGAAAACTGTATTGAGTAGTTTGAATGGTTAGACAGATCACCTGTGTATGAATCATTAAGGAATCATGTCATGTTCCAATCAGACCCATTGCGATTTGCAAACGATACATCATGTATTCTCTCAGCCCATTTTTCTCACACATTCCAGTGTTGATTATAGATGTGAGTTGACTGCTGATATAAGTTTTTACAGTGGGACCAAGATTTCAGAATGTAAATGTGCATGTATTGTGTATTTTTATGGCAAAGTGTAAGACTAGGACCAACAGACATGTCAGCATTGCTTCTCCTGTACAAGACTGGCCAGTTTTTTTTATAGCTCTTTGCTGAAGCTTCGGCGCTCTTGATATGCAAGCAGACATCCCAATGTTGACTACTCTTCAAAAAAGCTTCTCCCATCCTAAATGAACTTATGCTCTAACCTAGCTTAATGCAGGGATCACTGCAGTAAATTCAGGACTTTTAGACAGAAAGTTTGTGTTAGATGTAAAATGAGGAATACTCGATTCTACCCTACCAGGCTACTTAAAGCATCTCTCATGTAATACAAGTATTTATGAAGTGAACAGTGAAAATCTGATTGATTGCCAAGATTTCATGCATTTGATGTGTGTTACTCTAGTTGGCCATGTGATTTGAAGTAATGATGTGTCCAGTTAAATTTGGTGTGTCTCCTGATATAATGTTAACCCAAAATAATTGTTCTATACATCCAGGAACAGTCAACTCTGGTCTTGGATGTAGTTACAGGTCCTCTGGTGATTTAGGATGACAGGGTCAGTTAGGTCAATCTTGAAGTGGCTACCTTTCAGTCACTTATAACAAGGAGGTTTCAATTAGTTGTTACTACATTCATTATGACCATATCTGTGAAATGTGGCCCAATGTATGTCTATAATAGAAAAAGGTAAGAACTACTAAGAAGTCACCAGTGCTGCCCAATATGTTTTAATGCTAATGTTTTTGTGATTGCTCTGTGACAGAACACTTTGAGGATAAAGTAAACTCTGTATATACATGTTAACAGCATTACTATTCTTGCCTCTGTACACCTATGGCTAGAGCTGTGTACCTAAACAAATTTTAGGTACAGGTACAGGTACAGGTACACAGGTTTAGGTACAGGTCCGGACCTGAACCTGTACCTGAACAATTCGACCAATTTATATGCTCTTCTGAACTCCTTCAATAACAAAAAAACATAAATAAA